GCATGCTGTAGCACACTTGTCCCATCAATGGGTTGCAAACTCTGTAAGCAACAATTAGTGTATCATGCCATTCAAACTCATGGACGTCTACACAAAACCTCAACTAATCACTGATGACGATTTAACTCTGCAGCTGGCAAGTCCATCTTAGGTGTTGAACCAACATGCTGATGGCTCAGAAGTACTGTACTTGTTAAATGGGTTCTGGTAGGCGTTTTCCATATTTATTAAGAGTGCAGCACTGTAATTTCTACAGTACATTGACTGGATAGACCCACTGCCTAGATGTTCCAAGTGTGCTGCAGCATTCCACTTGTAATAACTGATGGCAGTGTGGTACTACCATTACTGGCAGCCTCATATCCATCAAGTTCTGGGACATCTTTCCTCTGAGCTCGTCCTGTTGCGACAATGTCATGCTCATGCAGTTGGGATGATGTATGGATCATTGAAGATACATGCTTATCCAGTCTGTACAGAGAGAAATCTCACAAGACAGCATCAACACCTGGTGCAAAACCATGCATTACAACTGCACAGTTTGTATTATTATTCAATGGCCACACTATTGCTGGACTATGACCTTCACATTAGACCCCCTATTGATGTGAAATGTAGAGCAGCACAAATAATTTACATCTAAGAAAGTATCATTACCTCTGCTACAAAAAGATTGTAAACAAGATTGCACAATAACGTTCATGAAATTGTTGCAGTGGTGATGTAATAAACTCAATCTGTTTTAATTTTTTAATTATAAAATGTACATTTTTACTTTTGCCATAGATTTCTATTTTACACATTTATACATACATTTCCTATATCACAATGATGTATACCTTACAATTTACTATGGTATATTCATGTATCTACTATATATATATACCAAATGTAATATGCAGCTTTTCAATACAGATTTTTAGTACTTCTATAATCCAAAAAGGGTCATTCTAAAAATGCATTTGCAAGTCGTTGAAATGTATTAAGTTACGCTACATTTTTTAAACAGACTTTGAAACTGCGAGGAATGAAAACGGCAGGAGTCCTAATCTCGGTTTCGATTGTCATTTTTAATTTGCAGTCAGCTGCATGCACTGTAAACAAGATACTGTAGTTAAATTTTATTTAAATACAAAAGTTACATTTTACATGGTTCCAAGGAGGTGACTTATAATGTATCTGCAGATCTATCATACAAAGTAACAGTGTTGGGCAGTGGGAAGGAGGGAGGAGGGAGTGTTGGCAGATGACCTCAATTGCCCTCAGATACAACTGATGTGCAATTTTGAACCTGGAATGAAAGTCCACAGGCTCTCCCTTCTTGTTTCATTACAGCTCAGATCATAAAGGAAAGGCAAGTTGTTCACAGTGATAAAAACTGGATACTACCAATGCACAAAAATACATCTGTATAAAAAAAAAGGCTTTTTTGAAAAAAAAAAGATTCTTGTAGATGTGGGGGAAAAAAGACTTGCACAGAAAAACAAATGAAAAGGCATGCCGATACTATAACTGAAAAAGACTGCATAAATAAAGGTTCAGTTGTACAACTCCTATCTGCATTTTAAAGGGAAGCTGAAGCAAAACTAGCAGGAGGGTTAAACACCTTGTAAAACATTTTAAACAAGAACAAGAATTTAACTAGTTTTACATTTGGCACATTCAGGTAACATACTTGATGATAAATTAGCACAACCTCTTGTCAGTGTGTCAGTGTTGATAAAGGGGTACTTGTCATTCAGGGTGTAATGATTTTGCTATTTAACAAGCCAGGAATGTCAAGAATAATTCATTGAGTGCAGACTTGTATTCATTTTCATTTTCCCCCAATGAGGAATGTTAGTGTTAAGTGGTTGCTTTCCTCTTTGGCACCATTTACTTTCATCAGCCGGACTGCGAAGACACCGCACATACATTAAAAGTTATAATCTGTGAAATGTGCTCCTAAAAATCAACTCTTCCTTGTTTTCACAGAGGTCTCAAAACATCTGCTATCAAGGAGGATTTAAGTTAGAAATGGAGAACCTCATCACTGTGTCTGTGCTGTCCGGTTTCAGCTCCAGCACACTAACAAGAAAGCAAATAACAAACCACAACATTCCAGGCAGTTCCTAATGGGACAAAATGGAATAAATAATCTTTTCAGAATAGTGAGTTACAAATGAAGACAATATAGAAATAAAAAATGAAATGACAATGTTTAAGGGACAGAGATTTTTCTGGTCTGAGTGAAATGTTTTACATCCCCTTTATATAATTCAATAATTTGTCACTTTTGTCAACTTAAGAAGCAGTGTTTTCATCTCCCACTCTATTCCAGTTAATCAAGTATGGCTTGATTTACAGTCATAAATGTTGAACCTTTTTGCAATTAAAAAAAAGCTTCTACCAGCTTTAAAACAACGAAAAGTGCATTACCATATACTATCCACACCAAACTGTATATCAGAAGGCCTCTCCCTCCAATCCCCCTCCCTATGAAATATACTCTTTTCACACCAGAGTATATACAATTTTTCTAAATTCAAAATTCATGCACATGGTAATAAAATTAAAAAAAAAATCTCAGAATGATCTAAAACACTATTATTTACAACCTGCCACTTGCTTATACAATACAGGGTACTACAATACTCAAGTGTGCAACCACTCGTACCTCTCTGTCGATGCGACTACATAAAGCCCACAGAAAATTTGAACTTTTTGTACCGCTTACATGCGGTTGTCCAAAGCTACCCATCTTTAGCAAAACCCAGTGCCCAGCTGGAGTGGGGGAAGTTACAGACGAGAAATGCACAACATTTACAATTGAAAGGTTTCATTAAATGCTTGCTAGGCGCGGAGAGGTAATACAAATGCCGTACATTTATGTCATGGGACTGATGATATGCCTTTGCTGTTTTACAAAAACCGCACAGAGCTGAGGGAAATCAGCAAATGCTGTTTTTATTTAGAGTAATTCAGTTTAACACTCATCCATCCAGTCATTTTCTAACTTTATCCAATTCAGGATCACGAGGGGGGTGGGGGTGGGGAGCCAGAGCCTATCCCAGCAAGCAATGGGCACAAGGCAGGATACACCCTGGATGGGACGCGAGTCCATCACAAGGCAAACAGACACAAACACAGACACAGACACACACGCACTCACACAGTTTTCCCAGAAGCCAATTAACGTGCAGGTATGGCCTTTGACTGTGGGAGGTAACCAGAGCTATAAAATGCGTATTGGCCTGTATTCCTTTTCCATTGATGACGGCAACTCCATAGTTGTGGGTTATGACAAACTATGGGATAGCAATCACCAACGATTATTCTCCAGTAAGCAAACTGTTGATATATGTACTAAAATCAATGTTTTGACCGATGTCTTTCAAAGACTAACCAAACTGTCCTTACAACTACTGGCTACATACTGAGAAAGGGATCAGCTGGAGAATGTATTAAAACCTTTTTGTATTTCAATGTTTAAGGTGTCAGGGATGGATGTGTTCTCCTTCTAAATTTACCCATTGTGCAAAGGTCTTGACGAAACAAGTTTGAGCTACAATATTTCCACACTATAAGGTTTCAGACTTTTGTGATGCACTGCAATTATTAATACTACTCCGACATAGGGTGTGTTGGTTTAAGCGTGTTTGTTTGGGTGTGTTGGGGAGTGAACCTAAGTATGACTCATTTAAGCACTCATAAAAAAATGCTCCAGAACATATTTCTTTGTATTATACCGATTATGTACTAACTATAGTGATTAAGTATGCTGGAAGAGGCAAAATTTCAATATAATAACTCTGAAGAAAATGATGGCATGTGTAATGAAATACAGCACCAGATTCCGTTAGGATTGTGTTCACTGAGCCATTTCCCCCAAGCTCTTCCTAGCTGTGCACTGAGCCTTGCCCCATTTTAGGGTAACTCTGTAGACAAGAGAAGATAATAGTAACATTCTTCTGTCCTCCCTGTAGCAGAGCAGAGAGACAGAAGACAATGCACCCAGGTACATACTGGGCAAGAACAAAGGTGCTGACTGCATTCCCCAACTCTCCCATTATTTAATAACACCTCACATGTCTGCCACAGGTCATGGTGTTATTAGTGCACGTTTGAACTCAGCTTGCCAGGAGGCAAGATCCTTCCCGCACTGAACTTTTAAAGAACAAAAGCAGTATACATCAATTGCTTAAAGAAGAATGCATGTAAAATTTATGTTTGGATGCGGAACCATAGTTGGTATTCTGACAGTTTATTCTTGGATTTAGACAACACCTCTGCCACAAGCACCACGACTGCCCTCCTTTGTACCCCTGCTTCAATTTTCTAGGTTTATAGAAGTCTTCAGCCCCTTGACAAACCCCTTCAGTCTACAGATTGTCAGGTGCTATAGCAGGAGTGGCAGGAGATTCCCCTGCCAAGCCAAGCATCTGTCCTTCAACAGCAAACAGTTCACTTGGACACCAAGGAAAGTATTGCAAAAGAAGCAGGTTTGGTGATGGGCATTAATGATTCTAGAGACCTGGTGGAGGACGACCACAGGCTCGTCTTGAAACACACAATGAAACGGGACACGACGGGGCTTGACACAGACGGGGAGGAATCTGGCAGTCACTCAAAAGCCTCCAGCTTCAGCTCTGCACTAGGGCTCCCTCTTCCTTCTGCTGTCTGGGCCACAGGCTACGAGCCAGGCCATTTTCCGAAAGAAAAACGTTTCCGAGTAAACTGTAACAGAAAAGGGGTTCTCTCCAGTCTTTTAGCTGCCGTCACAGTTTCAGTTTCAAGCTGCTTCGGTTTGACAGACGCGTCCGAGCCGCCTCCAGCCCCTAAGTTTTCTCCTCTCGCTCCGTTTTGCGCCGGGTGATGTTGCGCGGCTTGATTTTCAAAGACAGCTCCCACAGCGCTTCCTCTGCCAGGTGATCGCTGAAGTCGTTGAAAAAGGAAACGATGTCATCGTTGCGCTTGAGATCGTAATGCCTGGGAGCAGGAAAATATCGGAGCAGAAATGAGTCTTGACACATGTAGCAATACACACACGCCAAAATAATCCTTGCGCTATAGTCAAGAATAGATAAAAGGAACAGTTTAAAGCCAAGATGAATTTGAAGGTATTATGAATTCAAAGCTAGGTCTGATTTTCATAAGGCAAGCAGTCTGAATATTTAAAATAAACAGTATGTCCAGATACAAAAGATCCATTAATCTTACGACTAAGGTTCTTGGGGGGACTAAGGGAATAAAGAGGTTTTTTTTTTGCTTTTGTTTCAAGCAAAACTATCACATACTTATTAAGTCTGATAATGTGATTGGAAAAATTCCCACTGAAAAAGTTTTGTAGAAGTGGGACATTTGATCAAGCATTCTTATGGCATCATTTGTTGGACAAATCAAAGAATTTTACTGACAGCTGACTGAGACAGAGAATTCGGACAACTTCCCACCATCTGAAGTTCACACAGCCTACAATGTCCTGATACCACGTAGCTTGGTTTCTGAATTAATTTACTACTGATAACATGATCAGTGAAGTGCTTTGGCCTGTTTCAGCTGCAACTGCAATGCAGTTTTACCATTTCACCACACCCGCCCTACACTCACACTTGCTGGAAGCGCCTCATGCTGTCCAAGATGTTGAACTGCTGCCACCGTTTGGAGAAGTTGACCTTGCCATCGATGAAGTCCGGATTCCCCAGGTGAACAAATGTCAAGTCCTGCAGGATGAGACCCCTAAGGGAGAATGGACACACCTAATAAACAATATGGCATCCTTCAACAGGCCCGTGCTCCTGTTTTTATCTCATGATGTGCTCTGCACCATTGACATGACTAACAAGGTCTTAAAACACTGTGAAAAATGAGGGGCAAATCATACAGCTGGGGATCCAGCAGTTCTGATCTCTTCCATCTCTCTACAAAGTTACCCATCAGGATATCTATATGTGAGAAGATTCTGAGATGTATTTGAACACTATTATCTACAGAACTTGTGCAGGGATCTGGACTAAGGACTAGCCAGCCATTAACATTTTATACATCTGGTACTTAATGGTGCTAGGAGCAAAACGCCTCCAGAAGCACATACCAGCTTTGGAATTTGCAATACGTGTGTAAGTGATCTGAAGTTCGGATTTAAAGTCAGAGCAAATCCTGAAAACTATTCCTGCCATGAAAAGAACCACTTAATTAGCCCGGACATTATAAACTCTCATAAGTTATGTAGAAATTCAGAGTTTTGTCAGGAGAGGCAGGAATTAGTCAGATACAAGTACATATAAGAATGCACCATGGTGAGAGAGTATCTGGTATTGCCTATTGAGCTGTCCTAGTGGACACAGATATGGAGTTAGTTGTGAGAAGTATGTGCGTATCAAGTTTAGGGTGAAAAGGGGCCTGCTCACAAGTAGGGTATACAGGGGGGCTCCACTTCCGCCAGCGCCGCTCGATACGCTCGGAAAGACGAGGAGCTGTCAATCAAGGTGCAGTATTCCTCCAGCCCCTGCAGAGAGCAGAACCAACAGAACAGTAAGATTTAGCGAGCCTACAGATCGCAAGTCACGCGTCCATTTAAACCGGAACTGCAGTCCCAATCTCTCAGACCGGTTTAAGTCTCGGTTACAAAATAAATTCATTGAGGGTACAGAAAATATTTACAAATTTAAGCACAAAATCGTGAACTTTTTGAAAGTATGGGACATTGCCATATTGTTACAAAGCCCTGTGGTCTCGCCACAGGAGGGAGCGAGAGTTGGCAGGAATTGTGGCCCTTTCCGCTCACTAGTCACTGTAATGGCTAATGTAATTCGATGTACAAGTGAATAAGTACAGCTTGTGCAGAAGATATTTCATTGAAGAAATGTTCCAATGTGATCTCCATGCAGAGTTAACAAGCAAGTAGTATTTGTCGGCAAAACCGTCTCGAAGTCAAGAGTAATATTTCTATTGGATGAAAAGAGATGTATTCACAAGCCTGCTTCTTTACAAAGTAATAGGACTTCAACACATCACCAGAGGTTTTTGTTGCCTTTTTCTGAATCACATGTTGCTTTTCATCTGTTTTACAATTTTGTGTACATTTTACTTTTATTGCAGCTTGAAATGCACTCATTAATGCTGATTTTTTTTAACCCCAAAATAGAAAAATGCAGATGCAGATCTCATTTACGAAGCACAAAAATTTGCTAACATAGAAACAGAATTGCCAAAAAATTACACGTCTTAAAAAGTATGAAACTTCTAAGAATGTTGTAGTGTTGGAGATATCTTCTCAGGTTAAAACCATAAACCTAAAGAGGCTGTGGAGCAGTTGACTAAACTCTACAGAACTCAGACTGTAACTGTGTTGAAACTGTGAAAACAGTGCCTACACTTTGAAGTGATTCACAAGATTTTACAAACCTCTGAAGTCTGTTTCTGCCACTCCAGTCTTCGGATCGGCGCCGAGTCCAGTGCTGACAGTATTGCCAAATACGAGTTAAAATTATTCAGCTTCCTCAAGTGCTAAACAATACATAGAAAACACAATGAGCACAATAAAACAGATCACTTGATGCAGAGAAAAAATAAAGGCTTAGCTCTTGTTTTTTACGTTTCAGTAGATGGATGAAATACTCCTCCACTTTTTTGATGAATGAAAGAGCTTTGATAGAACAATCCATAAGGAGAACAATCACCTTCATAATTTTAATAAATTTAAGAAGTAGCTTCTCCCGATCCTGGGCTTTCTCCTGCTGAATTATTATGGATCGAACCCTGAAAGAGAAGAGACCAACATTAACATGCTCTGGTCCAGCACATCTTGTTATATGGTGTGAATGCCTGTTTCCAAACTGTCAAAAAATTGCTAACAACCAGATTTGTTGGACCAGCAGCTATTGAAGAAAACAGCATAGGATATAAGAATCTGAGGTGGTAGGACAGCTCATTTGAAATTAACATAATTTTTTAATAGTACACTGCAATGAAAATGGTGTATAAAGAAAAATGTGCAGGAGTTATTTCGAATCTCCTCATAGCAAACTTGGCATACAGGCAGGGAACATGTATTGGGTTCCAAACACTAAATCTACACAGCAAAAAAGTACCGAGTATACATCTGAGTACGAGTTTCAAGTTTCAAAATGTACGAGTGCATCAATTCAGATATGTTCTCGTAAACTGGACTTCACTTCGAATGCAGGCATGAGAATAGTGAAAAAAAAGCCTTTACTGTAGAACTAGTGAAGGAGTTTGAGCCTTGAAGATGTACATTTACCCTTCTACAATATTTCCCTGGCCACTGCAGAGATATCAGTGAGAGTGTTACACAAAGCTGTGCGGTTTGAAGACGTACCAGTAGGACATGTTGTTAAAGTGCTCTGTGAATTGGGTCAGGTTGGGACTCTTCTCCTCATTCTGTTCCTTAGCCCACAGCAAAACCTCAGGGATCTGTGAACAGAGAGGAAATCAGAACCCCAAACAACTAAATATACGGAAGGCTAGAAGTAAAGGAAAGTGAAAACAATGGATTTCTCAGTGGAATGAACAACAGAAGTGGCTTTAGGAGTCGGGCCATGAAGTGAAGGTCAAATCAAAATTTTCCTGTTGGTTACATTTGAATAAGTCACACCACAGCACATCCTTATGGGAATCCCTACAGTGGTGCAAAAACTGCAAACAACTCTTGCCAATCTAATGAATTCCTCTATTCAACCTTTTCCACTGACTTCCTTCATGACATATTGTAGGGAAAATGGTCATCTGTTTAGATAGCTCCTGGATTAGCATGCAGGGAAAATCCAGGATTTGCAGAGCAAAGTGCAGGAAAGGGTAATCTTCAGATAACTGTCATCAGTTAATGTCTTTCGTGGTATTAACAAGATGGGTCCATGCGAAGAAATCACTTTATTGCCTTTAAATAGTTAAGCGCTGCCATCTAATAAAGTGAAAGCCAAACTGCCTCTTCAAGGGTATTCCTGTGCATCACTCATTGAGATTCTTTTGTAAATGCAATCATGCAGAAGCCTTTCCAACAAGGTCTGTGTGTGTCACAACAGTACATCGAAAACTAACATCTGACCAAGAGTACAGGGAAAGTCAAAGGCAAGGTGAACAGACAGCCCATCTGCTAATTAGATTAACTGAATAAGGGGAAGGATTTCACACACCCGTGCTGTATAAAAGTCATACAGCTTTGATAGAAATCCCAAACCAATCAGACCTCCATTACCTCTATCTTGTAGAACAGTTCTGCATCCAACAGTGTGAGCTGGTCAGCAATTTCATGGCTGCGGAAGTCGTGAAGAGTGCCCGGTCTGAAGAGAGGCATACAGAAAAGGAATTGAAGATGTCGACATGAGGAAGACCAAAGGAAAAAGGGGCGGCAGAAAATTGGGAATGGAATGAACTGACACTTTAGAGAAGATGAAGAACGCTAACATTTCCTAACAGCCATTCTACGTAGCACCTCCAAAAACACAAACTACCACTAAATCTCTAATTTACAATAAGAGCGATTAAAACATTCCTACCAAATCATAAAAGAATCCCTTCCGTCTCTCAAAATGACCTGTTTGGAAGAAGTCCTGTATATTTAGAAAAATTCTGAAAAGAAAAATCCTAGAAATGGTTATTTTAAAACCAATCTGTTGTACTTTGCTGCTACCCACACTTCCACTATCCATGCAGAAGATGCTGTAGGTGGGGAGAGGGGCTCAAGAGCTCCAGGCACAGGCCAGGAAACTAGGCTATTGGAAACAAGCTTCCAGCAGGCGTGCTGATGAAAAGGGAGATGGGTGAATGATGTCTGAACAGGCTGGAGCCCTCACCTGGCGGCTACCCCCCGAGCAGCCAGAGGTTTCAGGGAGTTGGTGTAGCGCAGCAGCTTCTTCTGCTCCACCTTGTCCAGGATATTCTTGCGCAGTACCCTGGCCAGACTCAGCTCTCCATTACACACCAGCCTGAACACAAGCTCCATCAGCTGCTTCAGGATGTCGTCTGTGAGCTCCACCAGGCTGAGGAGGAGGTAGGAGGACAGATTAGCAGCCTCCCCTGGTGGCGCCGGCGCCACTCACAGTTTTGTACCAGAGCGCATGTCGTATGGTTAGGGTTGAGTTTGTGAGTAATGCATTTTTAGTCTGGTCAGCATTTTAAGTCTGACCTTGCAGCTTAAATTAATTATTTGTGTAAAGATGTTATTCTAACAACTTAGAGCTTCGGTTTGAGCGGGAGAGATTCAATTGTAGATTTATTACACATTTATAACAAAGAATTATTACTGTACAGTTTCTATTACATATAACAAGTGGGTGTAATAAGCAAAAAAAGAGATCCTCATAAAAAAAGACTTCTGTTTTCCATGTTAAATGAAGTTTCAAATCATTTTTAGAAGCTAGTAAGACCCTGTGATTCCAGTCGAAGTGTTAACATGAAGTGAACAAATGTTAGTGCACAGTCACATAAACATTTTCACCTGGTACACAAACAAACTTCAGGAAACAAAAAAACTCACCAGAGTTCATCCACAACCCGTACAAGCACAAAAAACGTGTTTTTGCTCACACGCTTCTTAAAGGTGTCTGGGCTATGACAGAATCTTGTATATGTACAACGGAGTTAAGAAAATGAAATCCACAGCTTAAAATGGCCCAAAGTTGACGTCATCAAATCCTTGAAAACATACAGTCCAAATTAAACCAGCTGCAGTATCAGAGGATTTTAAAGTAAGCTGATCGTGACATGTTGCAGTTTCCACTGAAGCATCTCTCAAGTAAAATCAATGTTAGCTACTGTATTTTCTTTTCCTTTTTCAAGCACAACTCACAGACTGGGTTTGCATTGGAGAGACTCAACTGTGGACTTATAACACATTTATAATACGAGGATTAATGGTGTAAAGGTTCTATTACGTATTACACGAGGGTAAGTAAGAAAAACGCAACATCCTTATAAAACAATGTCTACTGTATGTTTCAAGTCATTTTTTTAAAGCCAGTAATACTGTCACATTAGGTTTCTCCTCAAGGTCAAATCAATGCTCTTGACTGAGCCAAAGGGAAGGTTTTTTAAATGTCAACATGCGTTAGCTTGCTCTTACTTAACCTCCATTTGATCGGTACATGCTTGTTACTATGGACTTGTTCCAACAGACTTGTACAAAAAGGAGAGAGAAAACGCTTTTATTTCCTTCTGTAAAGCTGAGCAAACAAAAATAGCTCAATTCAATGATGTTGCACAAGCTGTCTGACAATAATATATTTAGACTAGTTAAATCAAACAGAAATCCTATTCACAAGCTTTCTTCTTTAAGAGAAGACTATCAAAAGGTACACTGATTGCACATCAGCCAAAGCAACGTATTGTTAAAAACATTTTAAACACTGATTGTGTCCCACGTTAAGTTTGTATAAAAAATATTTTGCATGATATAACACTGATATAAGTTGCTTGTGCATTCTCTACTCTTTTCCTTTTAAAATTAAGACAAGACATAATGGATATGGCAGTTAAGTTGTAAAACATATATACACACATAAAACACTTTGGAATTGCCATTACATAATGCCAAGGAAATTCAGCATTGCCAATTGATAAAGACTCCATTTTCCAGCAACAACTCCTGACTGCTTGGGGAGAACGAATATCAGCAGACATCGCACTATGACTCTCCCTGCTTTCTGAGTAATTGATCTCTTTGATGCTCAGTGAGCTCCATGGTGCCTGACAGGAGAGTTAGTGCTGACTGGAGCACTGAAGGACACCTACTGACTTGACAGCAGGTTTGCATGTGCTCAGCAAGCAAATGACATCTCTGACTTGAATAGTCTTTGTTTTATACACCACCCAGTGTAAAATGATGTAGTAAGAAAGTTATGGAACTGGACCTGCCACAGTCAGCCTTTGAAAAAGATTTCATAGATAACAGAAAGCAGGAGAACTGCTTTCTGTATCAAAAGGATATCTGTAATGGAGCTTCTTTATTAGGTCTTCGGGTGTAATGAACGTCCTATATGTTGTAAGGAACGCTTCGCAGTACAAAACTAGGTCTGAAACAGAAGGAACACAGATTAGCACCTTAGCATTTAGTGGTGAATTTACAGAAATCTGATAAACCAATGTGATCTTATTTTTCTACAAAGCTTTATGTGAATGAGACCTAAATCAACCAGAATCCACTTGTGTATTTTAAATACAAATCACTCAAGAAAAAACAACAGTAACATCTCCAGCTGTGCACTGAACAATCACACAGTTTCATATTTGAGATACAAAGGGTGAAGAGAACACCTGCAATTACCAATACGTAATTAAAAAACAAATTAAATCCAACTTGACTCATGACAAGAACATGCTAAACCAAGACACAGAATGAGCTTTTAATCAGGAGATGTCACAAGGAAGTCATAAATACCTTTGCGGTCTGTTTCAGTGGCGTGGACTAATAAAATATCTCCTGATCCAGCCCGCACATCTGGTCCGTCATCATTCTGAAAGCACAAGGCCGAGAGGATTAGACAGGAACAGACAGAACAAGCACGCAGTCCAAAACACTAACGATCGAGATCCTCTCTCTGCCTTTGGCTAATCAAGCCAAGCTCAGCACAGAGCTAGCTGAACCACACTCTCCAAAGGCTAAGCAATGAATATTCCTCTTCAATGCAGTTCCCTTGGGTCCCCTAATATTGTCTATTTTGTTTTTATTGTCTTTTTTCAATGGATAATTTGTGCATTCATGCAGACCCTTTAAAATAGCTGGCTCGGAGCTTGGGAGGAGCCCAGACTGGTGTCTCGCACACACAAACGTACTGCCCTCTGTCAGGCTGCGGAACAGAGGAAAGACCAGACCACGTAGTTACTCAGCAAAGCAGGCAGTGGGCAGCAGTGTGCAGGATACAACAAAATTGAGGGAAGCGAGAGAGCAAGCAAGGATCCTTTAATAAAACAGAATATCTTAAAAAGCCCCAGACAGGCTCCAGTATAAGTCATTCAGATGTCCTCCTGACATGCTACTGAGCAATGTTTATTTAACAGCAATACCCAGATCTGGGTATTCTGAGCGGTTACTACTGAAGGTTTGATGTATCAAACCTGATACATTTGATGTTGGGTCAGAACTTTTACCCATGATAATCAGTTCAGAATAGACTCCACAAAATTTAGTTGTAGCTAAAAGATTTACATTTAATTGTGAATTTGAAAAATGTATACAATTACTATATCCCAAACACAGGATTATGGTCTTTGGATACATATAAGAAAGAAGATAATAGAATACATTTGCCCAAACATTTTTGGGACAACCTTATTGTCAGCAGCCATATCATCCTGCAACTCACAAGTGGCAACCCACTGAAGCTCAGCAATTGTGAGCCTGGCCAGTACCTGGATGGGAGACCTCCTGGGAAAAACTAAAGTTGCTGCTGGAAGAGGTGTTGTTGGGGCCAATATGAGGCGTTCACCCTGCAGTCTGTGTGTGTTCTAATGCCCCAGTATAGTGACGGGGACACTATACTGTAAAAAAAAAAAGTGCCATCCTTTGGATAAGATGTAAATCCTAGGTCCTGACTCTCTGTGGTCATTAAAAATCCCAGGGCGCTTCTTTAAAAGAGTAAGGTCTTGTACAGTGGGATCCTGGCCAAATTTCCCATTGGCCTTTACCAATCATGGCCTCCTAATACTCCCCATCTATGAACTGGCTTCATCACTCTGTCCTCCTCCCCACTGATAGCTGATGTGTGGTGAGCATTCTGGCACACTATGGCTGTCGTCGCATCATCCAGGTGGATGCTGCACATTGGTGGTGGTGGAGGGGAATCTCCATTACCTGTAAAGTGCTTTGAGTGGATTTTCCAGAAAAGCGCTACATAAGTATAAGGAATTATTATTATTATTATAAAAAATTAAATTTGATCTTGATCAAATTCAAATAACTCAAGTCAACAGCTCTTAGTGTAACTGAAAATCACAAGTGCTGAGATTTTGCATATATAGAATGCACATATCCACTTCTCCTAAGTTCTAGAGATGTGTGAGCCACTTACAGAATAGCTGCTCACCTCTTGCTTTAGTGTTATTCGTGCCATGATCTCCTTGTGGTCTATAAGAGAGAGTTCGTCCACCTCCTCATCGCTCTGACCCGAGTCTGTGGATTTCTGCCTCCTGTTGAGAATACAATTACAAGGGTCACTCGCCCACATCACTGACACCATGCTCAGTTATTATTCCAAGTCTAGAGTACATCTTAGATGAATTGAGGCTATCAAACTGCACATTAGTTCATTAATATCAAACCTCAAGACATTTTTTTCCCCAATTTTTCTCCTCTTCTTCTCCCCAAAACGACTATTACACATTTTGAATGTGAAGGAATGATCTAAAATAGATACATTCATTTTGCAATTCCAAATACCCTGCACTTAACATTATATGGGGCTTATACATAATCTTCTTTCAACTATTTTGTTTTTTTTTGGACCCTCATCATTTGCTTTCCCACTTTTTGCTCCTGTTCTGTGAAGAAAATCCAGAAAGCAGCTGTTCAGTAAGCACCGAGTGAAGAGTGGTAGGTCCACACAGTACAATGTGAAAGGGGCCTACCTTTCCACGTCTGCGATCTCTTTACTGTTGGCGGAGGACTTCTGTGGCCCGGGGTCTTGAAGGACCTCGTCTGTCACAGCTGTTGGCTCCTGATAATGAACAACACTATTGTAAAGAGGGGCCTTCAGGATTTCAAGGGCTGAGGGAAACATTGTGCTGGCTCCAACCTGGAAACGCGGTTTAGAAGTTAACAATTTCTGCTTTCATCACAATGAAGCCCCGGATAAATGTATATACAGGAGAGAAGTCACCTAGGTAATGCACAACAGTCATTTAATGCCAATACAGCCCATTCAGCCTGTACAGCACATTACGAGGAGAAGATGAAAATTACTTCACCAAATTATCTATGGAGGAGGCTTGCAAGCCCAGAGTGAAATTTAACTAGGACACTGGGTGTCCCTACTTATCAATACCCTTGCTGTCACGAACAGTGCCGTAGGATCTTTAACAACCAGGTAGACAGTTTAATGTCTCATCCAGCAGACAGTCTCTCCTACAAGCAATCTACAGCAGCAACCTGGTTTTTCATTGAGGTCACCCAAGTTCACAAGCAGCAGAGACAATAAAAAACAACACACATGCACCACACATAGGAAAAACAGATGGCTGTTATTTCAAGAACAACACTTCACACTGAGCCCTTACATGTACTGTATATATAGATAGTAATTCTTCCACATACATGACATCTATGGGAGGCACTGACAATGCTGACAAAGGAAAATTTTGTTATAAATTCAGAGTAAACTATACTCTGGATCAAAAGCATTCAAGAAGAACAGCTGTTATACAAGTGTGACAACAGGAAACTGGACACAGAGAAACAACTACAGACACGTATGAACTCACACTGTGCATATATAGATACAAAACAATAGAAAAAATAAAGGATGCACTCCACAATCTTGTAAGGTACACATAAAGCTATGCAGGTTCATCATCCATGCAGGGTTACACCCAGAGGCAAAGCAATATCATTTTTGAATGTATGCAACAAAAGTTGACCTTCAAAAACCTTACACAGTTATTAAAGGCTTTAATGCATTAAGACACAGGATTGTTAAACAGCTTGAAATGAGGAGTTCCAAGAAGGGTGAGGATTTTTAAAAAGGCCTTGACAGAGAGGTCAAGTATTAGAAGAACAACTCTGATTAAAATCATTTGCCATACTGTTCAGTAGCTGGACTAGATGCACTGCAGTATTCAACTTGAATGAAACCACATTTTATGCAATTTTGTAATGCAACTTGCCAGTGTGAAACTGGAGACAGGTTCTCTTTGAATTCTAACACTGCATGTACCGTGCGATTATTGTATATTTTCATGCTGCGGTTCCTCAGAGTATCACGCCTTCTGCATTACAAAAGCAACACCACTGCAGATCCAGGCCAATGTGCAGGCAAAAAAAAGCACTGGATAAATCAAACGTTATTTTCATAGGCTTGTATTTCACTTATAGCCAAAAAACACCCATTGAGACTGAGTGGAGTGGTGTTTCGACTAGACTTTGACTAGTTAAAATTAGGTTTGACTCATGATACAGATTTGGCAATAACTGATGAATGAACACACTGAACTGCACATGCAATTGAGATGTATAGATTTAAAACACTGAATCAATTATGCCATCCTGTCTCTCACACACAGACATCCTGACAGCAGTGTTTTTCATCTCTTCTGGTATTTCAAAATATATAAACAAGATCCCAATGCCAGTTAATTGAACTAGAAAATAATTATATTAGTTCTCCAGAACATAAAAGATGTGCGTCATAACATATTACTCATATATTTTCAGTTTGAAAGCTCAGCATATTGGGATCTCTTTTTTGGGGTATTTCCTATAAGTGAGACAAAGTTCTCAATCACCCAGTTTTAGGATATAATTAGTGTACAGTGGTTTAGACTGACAGGAAGCCCAGACATAAAAGAAGACGTCAAAGCATGAGTACAAGGCAGCATGCCAAGCAGCTCAGAAGCACAGGGTAGCCCTCAGAAGCAACCCAAGCTCTTATCCACAGCCTCACATGCTCCAGACTGCTGTTTCTGCAGCCCCCCAAGGGTAACATGGCATACCAGCTACTTACACCTTTGGAATGAGGGAGTTCTCCATTGGCTTGGCTGGACGAATACAGATTGACATATTCACCCTCCCCGCCTTCCTCGTTAGCGCTCTCGCTCTACAGAAGAAAGGACGACAGCAAGATTGACAAGAGCCCGTGGCAGGGCGGTTCGCAGCGACGCAGGAGCTCAACTCCAACAAAGAGCCCGTGTGGGGTGTTGGCCGCCGAAGCTGTTGGGTGGAGCGCCCAAAGAAATCCAGTGAGCCAGCAGCGCGATCGCAGGACTAATCCAGAGGGCAGTGAGTTTTAGCTGCCAAAGCGTGTGCTGGCAGATACTACTTCTATTCCAGAACCAAGAAAGCACAAATCTCTGCAGAACAGCAAATATTGACGTTCCATTAATTGGTCCGTGGCAATCACTAAAGATCAGATCTAAACTGACTGTGGTTTCAGTTTTATCAATTCTTTGCTGATGCTGGAAAAAAATAACCCTCTAATCATAGCCTACTACTCAAAAGAAATCTCCCTCCCTCCTAAAAGGTACTTTATGCAGTGCAGTGCAGGACCATGCAGTGTCCAGAAGGTGGCGCCTCCATATGTAGTATGTTTCACTGTATTTAAAAAGCCATAGCTTTAATAAACGGTTGATGACACCTTATCAGTCAAAACCATGGCCATGCTCCCATGGGCAAATAGATGGAAGAGGCAACTTCGACACTTTGGGCACCGTTCTTGGATCATATATACCATCCAACATGCACGTCGATAAAAGTGGACCAGCTGGCATCAAATCTGATTTCATACCATCAGCGCACAACCCCGGGTTTATTGAACCTCTTGCCCGGTACCCTCCCAGTCCCTTGCGAATGTAGATGCCCTGTCCTGTCTAGACCCCCAGTAGAAGCTCACCACAGAGGGCTGCAGAGAGTCAGTGAGAGAAGATTCAGAAGGAAGGCAGACAGCGAGAGAGCCACCAGAGCTTTCCAGGGAATCATGTGCCATACCCCCGGGATCTGTTGATTGGCCGGCGGTGGCTGGGGCCTCAAGGTCCGAGCTCTGCGATTGGTGGACAGTGGGAAAGTGGGAAGAGACAGATGAGAGGAAAGGAGGAATGGAGGCTTGATTGTGAGGCGCAAAGTCCTGCGAGTAGGACCTAAAAACAGTCTTGTACTGGAAGACAGAGGGGACAGAGAGAGAAAGAGAGGAAAAAAGAAAGAGGAGATGAGAGAAGCGCTGGTCTAGACGAAAGGCAAGCCCCTGAATTAAATCTTACATGTTTCATTGGGATGAGGTCCAGTTCTCTCTGTAAAGTTACTTTTTGTTGATCTTTTTTTTATAGTTGGTACCCTTGAAGGTAGCCGACAGAGAAAATGGAACATTTTAAAGCAAATCCAGAAGAGCATTCTCCCATTTACAAGCAAAAGCTTTCAACACATTCTGGAGGGAAAAAAAAAGATACAGCTGCAAGGTTGAGTGTCCATTCCAAACATTTGGACTAAAACCACAACAGCTTAATAGACTCCCTGGTCACAAGCAAATTATTCTCCATTTATTCCAGTCAAAGGTTTACTCTCACAAAATTCATACAAACTGCTAAAAGGAAATATACGAGACAGCTACAATGGCAAAAATGCACTAGGCTAACCAGACGAAAGTAAGTTTTATTGCTTCTATTTTCACCCTTTTAACAGAACTGTACTATTACTGAGGCAACTGGAAAACAGCAAAGGCGAATGAAGAACCAACAGTATAGACTACTACTGCTGTTTTTATACACATGGGCAGTAAGAGGAGAACAAAAATCAAAATTTGCTATCATGATAAGGATATGCTTATCATTTTCTCTTTAAACTGAGATGAAATTGTACCTGAAGTAAAATACAGGATGACTTTGAAATTTCCTGTTCATTTCTGACTGTTTTTCGTAAAAAGATTGAAATGCCTGGAAACATGTTTTGCCAAAAAAGATGTCTGGGTGAAGAAAGATGTTTCATCATCTCTTAATTGACTTTTCATGCTTTAGGATCATCTACTAGAGTAATGCATCTGGAAAAACTAAGACAAAAATGGCTTCTTTTCATGGTGAAAGATTCATAATACCTTACAATCTTTCTATTAACAATTACTTAGGCAGGATCAATGTCTAGAACCCATATTCAGGATCTCTCTGAGGGATGACATGTATTTTAACGGATATGCACATATAAACAAGAGACAAAAAAATTCAAATCTAAAAAAACACCCTTGCTGGCAAAGGAAGGTAGAGAACCAGCCTCTTTCTGCTTCCTATCACAATTCCTTCTAGGAAGAACAGACAGTGAGAGGATAATAAAATGTACCACTGTGGTCTGCCAGCATGAACAGCATGAAGTTTACACAGCCAAGCAAAACAAAGAGCCCCTCTCAGAAGCCTGAAAGGCACTGTATATTGCACAGCTTCATCACCTCTGCCACTCCAGCTAACAGACTGTGCCACAGAGAGCTCTCCTGCAGCCAAACCAGACTGACCCGGTCTTTAATTTTCCTCCACCTTCAGGTCACACAACCGCAGACGGCACTCAGACTGGCCTGACTAAACACACCCAAAAGAATAAAATGCCCCTTATTCAGCTTTCAGTGTCAAAGCATGTGGTGACAGTAGCCAATCGCACTTTGAGTTCATGCCCAGCTCCATTCCAGCTCCATTCTCAACAGCATCACACCTCAGAGATTACTGCCAATCCTTTGTGCTAAATAGCTCTTGAGAAGGGGAAAGGATCTGTCTCAGAAGACCTCATAAAAACCCTCATCCCAAACCAAAATACCACTCCCTCCCACAGACACTAAACTGAAAGAGACTTAACACCTCTGTTAAGCCTTCCATCGAAAAAACCTATACTTTTTAAATTCACCATTATTTAACAAGAAGGACTTTGGCTCACACCATCTTAAACTTCACACAGATGTATGAGGTAAACAGGTTTGTGTCTTTAATCACAAAGACTTACAGTATAAGCATAGAAAACAGGAAATTAAAAATAGAAAGTGAAAGAACGGGCTTTCTGAGCCTTTTTTTTTCAATAAAATATCTCAATATGTGAAACTCGTACTGCATACTGATTGATCAAATATTTATACTCAACCAACAAAACAGTGCATAAAACCCAAATTCCTGAATGCTCATTTTTTTATTAACTACATGTAAAAAATGTTGGTTTGCTTCTTAACGTGGAATATGACCAATCCAGCTGGGATTCAGTGTGGCCCTAGGTGTGAGGCTTAACGGGATGACGAATCGGAAATGCAGAAAGAATATGTTCACATTAGGTCATCCTTGCTGTTCACAGCACTGCGTGTTCTAAATGGAATTTGAGAGAGTAAGTGATCTGCCTCCACTTGCCCTCAAATTCCTCCTCAAACCTTTGGGTCCAGGAACTTAGCTAACATTAGGCAATTGTTCAATTTGTTTTGAGAGTAGGTTGGGCAATATACACCTTTATCCAGGGCAGAGGGGGGTATAGGAAAGTGGAAATAAATATTTTTGGTTTAAATGCGAAACAGCTTTCCTAACAGCCAGGCCTAGGTAGCCCCCCTTACAAACCCCAGCCCACTGCTTCCCTCAAACATCATGCCCCGAGAAAAACAAGAATGTAAAAAATTCTCTTGCATACGGGGGCAAAGGTCAAGCCTGAAATGCACCAAAGGAAAAAAAAAATCTGTTTCAAATTACAAACATGTGGCCTGCATTCCACACAATCCAAGGACACATGCTCAGGAAAGAGCAGGTATCACAGTCTCTTCATCGGGGACATTGGGTCAACTACTTCTACACTTTCCTTTCCAGTCCCGCACCACCACAAGGCTGTGGGAGATCTGTGTCAATCAGGGGGTGCTCCGTATCTTGGGAGAACTTTCCTGGCCCCTACATGACACACCGCAGATTTTAAGTAATTGCTGGAGTTGGGGTCCCTCAGTCTCGGAATTCTTGGCACCGAGAAATTCCAGGCATCCCATCTTTTTCTCACTTCCCTAAGCCACAGACATTCCGAGGAACAATAAACACAGATGAAAAGAAGAGGTTTCACAACAAGCCCATTACGCCAGCAACTTTTCAAATAAACTTCTCCAAAATCCCACATTCACAACATCTTACCCCTTGCTTTGCATTCTGATCAAACAACCTGGGCATACACTTAGGAAAGAATTTGGAAATTCCCCTTTGGACATATGAAATAAACAAAGGGATTTGTGCATATTTTGAGTTCAAGAAGACCTCAGAAAAAGCTGTAGGTTTCTCAATTTCTGTAGCATAATAACATTTGAGAGTATGAACTCAATTAAACTACTGAGTGGAACGGAGCTAACTTATCTGGTGTTTGCAGGGCAATTGCTTAGGTGTTAGTTAAGGCTTCAGTGCTTTTAGTTATTTTATGTCTGGGTTACAAAACAAAAGATATCCTTTTTAGGCCAGGCAAACAATCAAATAACCTCTTCACCCCGGCTTCTGTGCCAGGGGTTATCAGGATTTTTAATACAGCTGACACTCTGAATCACCCAGTGGAAAGCTGTGCAAAGCTCAAAAAACAATGGGGCACCCAGGCACTGAATGAACATCCCTTCACTGGATTAGGCACACCGAGATTCTGCATTGAAGAGAGAGAACTGGGCTCGCTGTCCAGGGCCTGTGCAATTCAAACAGATTGTTAGCAGGGCTGTGCGTTTAGGTGCGAGCACATGAAACAAGAGAGGATGGATCTGATTTCTGGCCTGTCTGGTTGGCTTCTGTTCTGTAATGCTGTGGAAATGTGCTGTGTCTGCCCACTGGTATTGTAAGGTTCAAGAAAGTAGAGCATTATATAGCACTATGAATCATGTGACATGTTTTCTGAAGTCCAGGGCAGTCACTTTCAAGACAGAAACTCCCTTTGATTGCACGAGCGTTGTGTCCTTAATGCTGCTGTCAGTCTCTGGATCTGACCCAGAGAAACATCCTTCCAAGCCCTGAAAGTGCCTGAAGTTGACATTTCTCATAAGCTTGGAGTGGCATCAGATTCTAGACTTTTGTTAACCTGCAAATTACTCTTTACAGACACCATTACAGGACAGTCCTACTATGAGCAAATCTTTTTTACAGTTAAGTCTGTGGTCATAGAAAAAATGAAAGTAATTGCATAAACACACTAGGACCTGTGTGTTAGCTACAGTCTGAATTTGCAAAGTACAGAGCTTTAATAGGGAAGCTCATCACAAAGTACTTCTTTGACATGAAAGTTATTTCAGGAATGCTTCCAGGTCAAGAACCCAGCAGTTCAATGGCTGCATCTCAAGCTGATGCTCTTTGCAGACATTTGCCTATGAGAAGACAGCTGGGACTGTGGTCAGATTCATGAATGGGTAGCTTTGAAGTCCTTAAAATAGGACTGAGCAGGAAATAGCGGGGTTATATTCAGTTACAGTGCATATACGTCGGTTAACAAACACTGCCGTCTGACGTCCTTTAAAAAAGCACATTCCATGAAAGAAATGTAATGGGTTCAGCCGTTTCTAACACAATAAAAATGCTGGTTATCTGACAAGAATATTAAAATGAATCTGTTTTGAACTCCAGAGATCATAAGTCAAGACTTTGCAGGTGTTCATCCTATCAAAACAACAGAGCTGCCTTATCCCACAGAGAGCTGTTTAAATGCTTCCACAATAAAATCATAACTCAGAAAAACAAGCCTATCATCTTCAATATAAAATGCCCTGCATTATTCAGAAAAGAACTGAAAGTTCATTTGCCTATAAGCACACGCGTGTTCAGATCAAGTTGAACATACAGTACAAGTTAAAGGCTCCCAAAAGTAATGTGAATTAGTTTAAAAAATACATTTTTTTTTATATTGCTGACTACTGAAAAACAACAGATCTAACAGTTATCCTAAGGCCATAAGTAAATGTTATGTTTGACCTCTTTTCTACGTTACTGTATAGTATTCAGTCTTAACCACTGCGTTCTATGAACAAGCAGCAGCAATGCATGCAATTAGTCCTACAGTTTACATGCAATCTGACAGTATGGAGTCTCCAGAGCAGCAGTGAAAACTTAAAGTGATTATTCATACATCTATAATACTGTCACAGCTGCTCTAAAGTGACTTGTTCTACCAAAACTATCACAACTGTTTTCATATCTAGTGGGGTTTTTAGTCACCTCAAGCGTAAGAAGCAAAAATGGTGACCCAACCCAAAGTGAAGAACCAGAAGAGCTTTCACGTGTGCAGCATCAAGCATGCACTCCTCACTGACACCCCTAGTAGTCAGGAATTCAGATTCCCACCCTGTGTGACTGAAACCCCAAGGATATGAGAACACATACTGTCACTGTTAAAATGAAATGATCGCAGGAAACGGCAAAGGCTTCAAGTTCTCTACTCGGTCCGCAGAAAAGGTCTACTGAATAAGATATTCCATATTTGGCAAAACCTTGGCTACCTTATCCCATTTCCCTTCCATTTTAAAGTGTTTTTTTCTGTCATAGCTCTTATAATGTTATTTCAATTGTTTATAGGGAAAACACGTCATTCTCATTGCTGGATCAATATTTAAAATAAAGACTACCCCAAAAGGAGAGCAAAATGGGAAAGTTGTGCTGGACAAAGATAGACATGTTTTTATAAATATGGAAAGGTATAAGCTTTTAGGTTAGGTGGTTGTGTTTTTCTTGATGTCTGATTAAAGCAATCGCTGCTGTCCTTGAAGACAAATTTTATATGATCTGTTTACCCAGATGAAGGAGCATACTGTGTATCTTTACATATACTTAAATTTGAAGACTGAAGGAGCAAACTGTAAATGGCAATTGTGGTGTTAGAAACAAAAAAACTAATTTTATTTAACAGTTGAGAACATTCATTTTTTTTTTCAGCATGAATGAACTAGTTGAACTAAACGGGCAGGAGAGGTAATACAGACCATATAGATCTTCTCACTTGGACAAGCCAGATCTACTGTAATCAGACGAGCTGGAAAAACAGCCCTTAGTGTCTACAACTATTCGAGGGCACATCATGCCCTGGGAATCGCTCACCGGTGATTCAAGATGGGCAGAAAGGGAAGAAGGCTCAGGCATCCAGATGGGACTGTCCGAAACATTAGGGCCTGACTGGCTGGGAGGGGGCTGGGGCAAAAGCGATTGGTTGGAGAGAGGGTGGTGGAGCCACCACTGGCTCAGGAGGGTGGGGTCGAAGAAAGGCTGGGCGAACACTGATTGGTGGAGGAATGAGTGTGTGGCGTGAGGGGCGTGGGGCCAGGCCATCGCAACGGGTAGAGGACAGGGAACACAGGGAGGGGCTGCCAGGGTGAAGGAGGGGTAAAAGGAAGGCAGGACGAGAGGGAAGGGCAACTCTTCAGAGATGGAGGGAGGGAGAAGTGTAGGCGCCAACTTTGGGGGCGAAAAAAAAGAAAACAGAAAATTAAAGACACAACATGGGGGAGGGGGGGACAGACAATGCAACAAAAAAAGAAACGATGAGACATGAGCGTTGTCAACCATTTCCTGGACCTGAGTCAAACACAGATTAAAACTCTGCCCTCTCAGTTCTGCCATCTAAAAAATGGCATTAATCTCGCTGTTCAACAAGTAATTACCCAAAGTCTTTTCAACTGTTAGACAATATTTGAAACTTGATTACAGAAAGGATTAGACCCTTCAAATCCATACAAGTAAAAGAAAAAATAAATGTTTTGCTCAACATACTTTACTTAAAATTGAAAATAAAAAAACGTATTTAATGGCAGTTTCTAAAACCTGACATAGATTTCTAATTAGTACCTACCTTCAGCCCCTAGTTTCTTCTCACAGCTATTACTGACAGTAGGAAAGCGTAAGGACACTTCTCTCTTACATAATTTTGCAACACTGGAGTGGAATCTTTGCGAAAGGCGTTTCTGGTTCAAAAAGTCTTGCTCTCCTCTCCTTACACTGCACATTTGCAAATTTAGGTACCAGTAACAGATATAGTAAAATAACTGCACATATGAAAAATCTAAATTATACTAGGTTTTGCTTTGTTTTCTGAAGGCCAGCTACACAAGCAGTAATACAGCACAGTTTCCATGACACCTTGAACAAGGGCGACAAGGGGATTAAAAATGGCAAAACACTGTGCATCACTGTGGATTGGTAATAAAAGAAAATTTAAAACACAGAGTAAGACAAGATGACAGCTAGACAGAAAACAGGTTGCAAAGCACATGTCAATAATGAAAAGCCAGAAAGAAAACTAACAACAACTTAGGACACAAAGCACTGAACCACCATCTCATCTTTGACTCACCACATAAAAAAGCAGATACCTATATTTCCTTGCAAATGTATCTCAAATTTCCCATTCCAGTCCAAACCCCAAATAGGCTGAAAGTTTTACTGGAACAGATTCCAGTCCCACATTTCAAATTTCAGAGTGGTCCCTCTTTCCAGGTGTTACCAAAAGACCAGATAATGCAAGAAACAAAAACTAAACCTCAATGGTCCTGGTTTAATGCTGCAAGCAGGTGAACTGTTTTTTTTTTCTTTCAAATGTACTCGAATTAAAGTAGTAAATCTAATGGATGGCTGTTTAAAAAAAACAGCATTTATTTAAAAAAATAAAATTTCAAGGTCATCCTCTTGTCGCCTAAACACTGAAGGGGTCATTTCCCTAAAATCTTCATAAGCAAATCTGGAAATAAGATTCTTAAACTGCACCTGTATCTGTATATTTACCTCTAGAGGTACAAATGACAGTACAGTAAAACAAAGGACAAGGACCAACCCTGTTCAACAGCATCTGCGTAGCTGGATTAAAAAAGGATTAGCTGTTGAACCATGATCAATAATTATCTTTTTTTTGGAGACTTGTCAGTACAAAAGCCTCGTCTTGTGCTGAGAGCAAGTGGGGAAATTCTGGTAAACAAGGAGTTGATGGAGATTATTATTTTGGCAGACTGCACGGCCACAGCCTCTCCTCAGTTGCATCCAAACGTTAATTTAATCTTTGGGGAACTCAGTCTTCTTTTCTCCAAATTCACAGGAGAAAAAAAAATCAATGTGGCTTAAAACAATAGGAGCAACTTTAAAAAGGCTGAGATATTTACTTGGCGTTCCATTAATCTTGACTTATTTTTCTCTCAATGTGCAGTGTTTGCACTCAGGGTAATGGGCGCCTTAAAGAGAAATGATGTTTTTCCCCCACTCGTTGAGAACTTGGCTTGGGATGTGACCCAGGGCACTGGTAACTACCTGCACCAGGGCTAGCATTCCCATTGCAATATGGAGGACAAGATGACACCACGAGCCAGCAGACACAAGCACAACAGCACAGGCCACGGCCCTCAGGGCAGACAGACAGGCCGAGACTCACCGGAGGCGCAGTGAGGGAAGAGTGCCGGCTCAGGAAGGAGTTAGAGACGGACATGCTGAGGCTGAGAGCGGAGCTGGCATCCTCCACCGCGACAGTAGTGGGATTAGAGTGCTGAACGTGACAGGAGAGAGAAGAGGAGGAAGAGGAGGAGGCAGTGTAGGAGGCCTGCAGGACAGAAGCAGAGAGTGCAGAGACAGAGGAGGGGTGGAGAGGGAGGAGAGCAAGGCACAGTTTATTCACCTAGCGGTACGCCAAAGCCAAGAGCCGGGATTTCTGAGCAGCAGCAGGCACAAAAAAAACCCCAACAGTGTTTTGTTCATTTCTAGGCTTTCTTGACGAACAAATTAACAATTCCAGAAAGAAAATACATTTTTTTCTGGAGACAGAAGCCACTAACTGGAAGGAAAATCAAACCATTTGAACCTAATTTCATAACAGAAGCGGAATATTTTCTGCACCCTGCCCAATAATAAAGGTAAAAATCTAGATCTGCTATTGAAGAGTAAGAAAACATCCAATAGCAGCCTTCAGAATGGAAAAGGCAATCACTTAAGACATCTTTGGATACCAAGTGCGAAATGTGAAAATGAATTTTAACATCTTTTACATTTTTTAAAGGGGTAATGTTGTGGATATCACACTCACACCCAAGTCTTTCTAGCTTTACAATGAAGAATGGCATTTTATTTGCTTAGTCAGTCTCAGTTTGTACTTTATTATAAAAGAGAAACAAAGTTGATAATCTCTGCACCACTGTAACCTGAGTACACAACTGTGTTTAGCCGGTTCACTATGTGGCGCTGTGACAACGGCAGGCCTCATTCTGGACAAGCTGACAATGAAACGTAGACAGAATAGCCTGCCAAAGAGAGACGTCCTACTGTGTTAAGGGAAAGAAAAGGATCTGAGCCCTTTAATTGTTCTGAAGAGAAAGCCAACTGGAAAGTGACAATTTATTTGAAAAGGTGACAAGTTCTCCCCAGCTTGTCACACTAAAAACAGAATATTTATTTCTAGCTTCCTGAAGAATAATCGGCACAAACAAAAAACCCACAGCTCACGTTCCAGAGAGAGGATCTGAGTTACTCAGCAGGTAGAGTAACAAGCACGTGCTGAGATGCCACAGTGATTATTTACATTGGTATAATGCTTGTCTATGCATCTACTGATTATGCACATTTTTTTTTAAGTAGACAAAAAAACGGAATTTAATGGAAGAAATTACTTGGTGGAAATCTGTCTACAGGATCCAAACGGAGATGCATATGCATCTGCTGAGGATAGAGGGAAGGCTAGAAAAGAAACAGAAAAGGCTGAGAACAGGCAGTCCATTTTAGTCGACGGCTCAAGATTTGCCAGATATGGTCGTGAAAGCTCATGTCACAAAAGGGTGTCAAACCATACTACAGCACATGAGCCACTCTTCACGCAGGACGTCATCCTGACTGAAAAGAAACAAAACCCTGTATAAATCACCTTCCGAGAAAGAAGGATCGCCAGCTAAGTTGAACTGAAATCACTGAGATAAGGCCATGTCATTTTTCTTAGCATTGTGTTTGTGTTCACCCCCCCTCAAAAACAAGCTAGAAGAGCTCTGTATGGAGCACTGCATTACAGTTCAAGCCTACATGAAACAAAAAAAGAGCACAGTGTGTTTAGGAGACAGGGCTGGGCGGCTTTTCTAACAAGACTTCACTCATCAAGATGGACAATCGTAGAAATAGATGTAGTCAGGTGTTGCTGAATTACAACTTTGGGTTGTGTTATTTTTCCCTTTGCTTTTTCCAAATGAAGATCAAACCTGTGTGTTTCTTTATCTGTTGCAAAACAATTTGGTCAACAAACTTGGGGAGCAATATCTGACTAAATATCATGCTGCCATTTGCATTTGAATTTGCATGGTAATACCAGTTATGTTTAGAAAAACCTTTGGTCCAGTTTGAACTGGAGACACACAGAAATACTGCATCTTAGAGTGCTCTCACTGGAAATTTTGTTTAGAGAATTTCCTAATTGGGATATTTAAAACCTCAAAAAATCCAATACCTATTAATTCTATTTCCTTTGCCCTTTAGAAAGTGTAAACACCTTTCTAAAATCTTTAAACCCACTGCAGATTTTAGGATTACGGCTTCCATTTCTGAAGGAGTAAGAAAACATAGAAGCTCTTGTATAAACATTAGACAATAATCAAAGTGTACCCATCTCAGAAGAGATTTTAAGCACTCTTCAATACAAAATAAGAAAAACTATTTTTTGAAAAAGAATTCAGCAAAATTAAGATATAAGGAATACAGGATGTGTATTTTAAATAAATGGTTTCCAACAAAATAACATGGCCCTGTAGGCTAAGCCTTCTGCAATAACAGGAATAGAAAATGTAATAATAATGGACAGACAACTTAAACCCAGGAAAGGGAACTTCTTTTTAATCACAGCAATGTATAAGCTCATTAGCAAAGAGTGTCATTACTCTCCACTGATTTAATTGGGATAAGGGCCACAATAATCTTTAAATGGTCGGAAATGTTTAAAGAATTAAGATAAAGCGCTTTCACAAGGGTGTGCCTTAAAGCTTCAAGATACACTAAAGGCACATCAACAACACAGGCGAAAAACTGGTAAAAAAAAACACTGAATGAAAAGGGGGAGGGAGAGATGTGAAAAATTATTGAGCAGAAAGAGAAACTGAGTCTATAGACAACGCATGTAATATTTTGCTTCTTTTCCGATCACTGATGTCTGTTATTTTGGTGACAAAATAATAAAACAAAGGTCAAGCCTATGGCCCTCATTCACAGTGCACACTGTGTTTTGTTGAAGACAAATCATAATCCACTTCACAAGTAGTGTAAATCTGATTAGCAGAAAAAAAGTATTAATTTGTAGGGGAAAAAGTGTGTGACAAAACCCTTTGGACGTTCTTTGATACAGGATGAACTAGATCAGAAATATACTTCAAGTGTAATCTAAGACCCAGAAAGGAGCCAACAGAAACTGAAAACATCTCATGATGTTGAAGAACTGCTTACAACAGACAGCAGGTGCACAGAATTTTAAGACGATATTTAGGCCATGAGCTGGTCCCACTTCAGTGTGTACAAGGGATGTTCTTCACTTCAAATCATTCTTACATTACATAACAAACCTTGCTCTGAGGGTTAAAGTCACTGCTCATTTTGAAAGCTGGCAAACAATAATATCTCACTTTCCTCTGCGGAGTGACTTGTTTAAGATTACATAACCTTTGGTATGCCTAAAGAATTTATGCAGTCATGTGCACATCTCACAGCGGAGAGTGACTACAGTTGTAATTTTGTAACTTTTTCCAACACCACTCTAAAAATAACCCTGCTGCCGTCTTCAGTGGATCTGCTTCAAACAACTGTTCACAAACTCAGACCTGGTTCCTAAAGGAAAACAACTGGATACTCGTTGTCAAACTATCCCAAATATTTAATCAAGAGAAAATGACTGTTTGAATTAAATTTGACGTTTGATGAGGGCCAGAAGAGTTTCTTCCCTTTTCTGCCAGCCTGAAACAGTTTAGTTCTTCTTTTCTGACCAAGTACTGACTAATCAGTGCAAAAACCTTGCAGCTGTTGTTTCAATTGGAAGTGTTAATCATCCAAGCTGGTGTCACTGTGACCCCCCAGCAGTGTTTTCAGTTGTATGCAGTTCCCTTCGGCTTTGTGATGGTGCTATTGAAACGCCCAGATGACTCATGTCTAGCAGTCCAGACGATCTGCTGGACTGATATTCACCGATATACTCACTGATACTCACCCGTACACAGAAAGGGTGGGATTCTTGTGCAACACCCCGAAAGCAGCTTGGCGCTCCCCGAGACGCCAACCTGCCCGTGGCCTGCTGTGTCTGCGTGCGGGCGCGACACTCACCAGCTGTCTCTGCTTGGGTGGCAGTGCCGGGGGTGGCTGGGGCTCGTGCACGGAGTCGGTGCTGCTGAAGGAGTCGTTGAAGCCGTACACCTCCTGGAAGCGCTTGTTCCTCTGCTCGTAGATGCTCTCGCTCTGAGGTGTTTGGTAAAACACTGACGGCTGGGGCTCGGAATAGTCCTCCACAAACTGCATGTACTTCAAGACTGAGGAAAGCACGATGGGAGAAACAATGCCGTGAGCAGTTACCGAGCGTCTGAGCATCAGGGATTTCCAGAAGGATTCAGCTATAGCAGGAACAGAAGCTATAGCGGGTATGCGTGTAGGTACCGGGAAAACATAAAGAGGAACATGAGAAGGGAAAGCTCTGATGACACTGCCTGAAAAAAAGAGCCTTTTTCTACGTGCTCATTCAATCTCAGATGTGTTCATCTTTTCCAGGGACAGGAAGTCTAATCGCAGGACACCCAGTACAAAATGAAAAGGAAGTTGTTCAATAACACTGACACAATACAACCATAAAATTAATTAAAATACTTAAATTAATCAGGGCTTATTTGATTATGAACTGACCTTCTAGGAACAAAAAAAAATAACTTTAAATGGGGTTATTCAAGTTCCTCGCCAGGGCAAACCCAACAGCCCCATTGCCTGGGCTACTCTACCTCTTCTGGTTTTCTTATACCAGAGAAAGTCAATAAGCCAACAGGAAATTACATCATCCCCCAGAGCTTTTTGACATGCTCTGGAGTTCATTTCCTGCATAGCTGAGGGAGACTCCTGCTCTATTCACCGAGAGATTTCCCATATTTCACCAACAAAGGCATTATTCTGCATGACCTCACTCCGCTGATATTACCATTTCCCCGATCAGCCTCCGCCCCCAAAGTTATAGCTGGAAACCCAGCTGTGTATCTGGATTAAACCCAGCCAACTGTTTATCGGTTGCGACTGAGCAGGGATACAGAGAGCCCGCTTAGGATCAGAAATACCACACACTGGGCACAAATAGGATAAGAGAAAACGGTCACAAAGAAGGGTTGTAGAGTCTCAGAAGGCATAAGGGGTTGTAACAATATACTCTATATAAATAGGAAGATTAAGAATGACAAACCACACTACTCTCTGTATAAAGGACTGCTGTAGCTAGGCATTTTAGCTCTTTTTTATATTAGTTAATAGAAAATGCGCTTTTATCTAATTACCTAATAGAGCATTACTGTATGGTCCACAACAGGACCTGTTTCACTCTTAGGTAGGCAAAACAAAAACGAAGCAGAATCTGGAAGACCCGACTGTAAACGTGTTGTAGCTTGTTGAGTCTCCTTGCTCTCATACATAGTTGAACTTCCTATTAATGAATTAGATCTGCAGGCTTTGGCATTAAATATGCCCTGCGGAGATATCAACCATAATACCACAGCCACATGTAGGAAATTCTCAGACTTTTAACACCCCACTATAAAGCAGCAGAAAAGAAATATCCCTCTCAATGGGACTCCGAGGTCAGCGAGCTTATATAGCTCAGTGCAAACTCATGACAGAAATCCCTTATGTGGTGCTTTCCTATCAGATATTACCTCCAACAGCACATTTCAACTGGTTGTAAGGAAATAAACATGTCATTAAAACCTAGGAGCCACAGTAGTTGACAGTGTAATTGAATCTCAGTACAGGAATTTAAGAACTTTAACCCAATATCACATTACTAACAATTTTTCCTTTGGCTCTGTGCTAATGTCTGAGCAGTGCGTGCGTAAATAATGACCTTTAAGAAAAGAAGCGCATATGAATCGGATACCAGCATACTCCAGGGATTCTGTGAAAAAATCAGAAACAAACACACACTTACTGTGCCTGCTCTTCTTCTCCGGCAGAGGAGGTGGGCTCTCCGGGATATCCGACATCTCCGAGGCGCCGAATTCGGCTGGGAAAGCGCCGCTGTTGCCCTGGGGATGCGGGGAGACAGCCGTGAAGACCGGGAAGGGGGGCACGGGCTGGAGGTCCTCCTCCGAGATGTTGTCGTACTGCGAGGGGTGGCGCTCGTAGGAGACTCGGGAGCCCGAGCTGTCGGAGTGCGGGGAGGCCTGCGAGGCGGCGCTGCGCCGCTTCTTTTCTGGCAGGGCGGGGGGACCGCCGGCAGAGGCCGGCTGGGGCGAAGCCTGCGGCCCCGCGGAGCCCCAGTATTCGGGGGGCTGCGTGTTGAAGGGGGAGGTGAAGTGCATTATAGGGCAGGGGGAGGATGACTCGTTGTGACACTCCGGCAGAGGGCTCAAAATACCCCCCACCAGCGCCTGAGGAATCTGGTCAGCGTTGGACAGGTCCTGGTGTAAGAAGTCGTAGTCCGGGTCATAGCTTTCTGTGTTATCTGAGGGACAAAAAAGAACAGTGAAAGGTACAGCCTACCCAGTGATCCTACATCAGCAGAAATGCAGAAGTACCCTTCTCCTACACAGGTCAAAATATTTTGTTTGGGCTTTTCAGTCCCGTTCTTATCTGATACACACTCCCTCACAAAAATAAAACACCTATCCAAAAACCTGCTTTACCTCCTCTGCAGCTCCCTTTATCAATTTAATCTTAATTATTTTTTTCCTACTTCCCCTTTTTCATGAAAGATAGCAATCTGCTCTCTAGATTAAATTTACCCAGCCGTAAACCTCAGCTCATGTATTCGTCTCCTCATGATGTTCTCAAGCTAAAGGTATTTCTTATTTTGGTTTTGTAAAACGATAATGAGGCAAATGTTTCAGACTGCTGGGAAATTAATGTTGTTTTTTCTACTTCTCAAATTGGTACCACCAATGTCTAGGGTTGTGATTAGGATTAGTTCAAATAATTCCAATAGTATCAATTTTGAACCCACTCAAACAAGTTGAGCAAAGTGATTAAATAATTAAAGTCAGTATTGTCATGTTTTTTAAAAAATGAATGTTACACAGAACTTTCAAGCACACTGTTCGTAATCTAAACCCAGAGCATATTTCTGAAGTGAGCACTTTTCTTTTGAAGTAAAAGGCAAGGAGACATGATTTGAAGGAAAGAGGTGACACTATCCACCCCTGAAGCTAGTCCTCCACATTCCTCCTGTAACTTCTCAAGAAAAGAAACTGTCACTGGACAAAGAAAGAGAGAAAATAAGACGAGAAGGTCATTAACCAAGAGGGTAATAGCTTAAGAATGCCCCCTGAGCCTTTTTTTTGCTGTATACAGGAAGGCTGACCAAAATATGTTTTGCTTCGTGAAGCTATTCCATGATCTACGAAAATCATAAATCAGGACTTTACCAGAACTACTGGAAAGGAAAAAACATTTTGTGCATTAACTTGGTGTCTCTGTAGGGGGGGGAGGTTGATTCCCTGTCTATTGGCAACAATTCTTTTTATTTACCCCCCAAAAAAGCCAATTCCATGGGCAAATTCCATTGCCAAAAGGAGTGTTTAGCTTTGTGTAATCCATTTTAAATCACTGAACAATTTCAACAAAGACAAGGTTTTTATGACCACATACGTATCCTTCAACGTACCCTGCCAGATGATACTTTTTCCAGTCCGGAACTAAAGCAAGAAGGCAGGCAGCAATGTAACAATAACAGAGGAACGTGAGCAGCAGTCACTGATTCCATTTTTTCCAAGTTAACATGCCTCACTCTATAGGAGATATCATCTCGCACAGTTCCATGAAGACCAGGAAGCTGAATCAACATACACACACAATAGAAGATAAAAAGGAAATTTTGCAAATGCTGCACTGTGATTGCTTGATCTCAGAACGCAATATCGCAATATTTAATTTGCTACACTCCGAGCCAATCTGTGCTAGACTACTGCTTGAATCTTTGCAGCTCTTATAGAGGTGACATCTTGACACAGCTGAGGGACCTTTAGTCAAAATGCATTACCATGAATAAGTGGAAATTCAGGTGAATTGATTATCAAGGGCAAAATGTCAGTTTGCTGAGCTTCTTTATGGTACAACTTTTGGAATTTCTGTGTGAGGTTTGTGTTTTTACTTCATTTGTTCATTTACCAAAGAGAAATGAGCAAGAAGCAGGTTTTCTGCAGCAATTATCAAAACTAGGAAATGTATTTCAAAGACTATAATTAACACACATCCTCATTTTTGTTTGGCACAATTCTAATTTGGCTGAAAATGAAAGTGTAACAATACAAATCCCCTTATATCTTCTAGTTCCTTATTGTTTCATGTATGTACTGTATCATGCTACTGACAGAGGGGCAACAGGAGCTGTGTGGCCTCTTTTGCAAATGTTCTAATGTTCTTAACAGACCTCAAATTAGCATTTTTGTAATGTGTGCTTCCACAGATCCCATTCCTGTAAAAGGGAATTCAAACTTTCAGAAAATATATGAACCTAAATGAATAGCTGTAGGATCTCTGCCCACACACAGTGTCTTTCTAGGGCTGTCATCAGGGGATTGAAGGTGCTTTAGTTACAGATTTTATGTTGTTTATGCCCTGCATTTGAAATGATTGGATCCACGTTCAGGAAGGATCATTTGCTAAAAGCACTTCAGAGTACACCTTAAAACATCTGGTAAAAATATTTTACAAATAAAATGCAGACACTGTCCATTTGGTCCATGCCTAAAAAACAATTACAAGGCCAGAGTTTGGTAAGAATAGGCTTAAATTATAGAACTAAGGGCATACAACTGAACAAAACGGAACTTTGTACTGATATTTTAACTTTCTAATGAGACTTTAATTGCTAAATTTACGGGAAAAAAATAGCCACAAAATCTAATGCCTTCAAGTGAACTGGTCAGAGCACAGATTCCTCCCCTCGATGAGTTTCTCCTTGTAACTTTATACTGTAGCTTTAAAATATTCCAGTCTGAAGAATGTGACAGGAAATAAGATGAAAATGATAGGTTATGGTTTTAAGCCTTTTTATATATTGGAGAAGTATAGATTTCCATTCCAGCTTCTTGGTATTAACTGTGCACATTATGCTATTATTTTTAAGTGGTATGTAAAGGAATTAGACTTTCAGATTTCCTAGAGGCCATCTGGGGCTTCTGTAAAGCTGAAAAGCGCTGGAAAAGCCTTCTTAGCACTGAGCGCCCTGCTGCATCTCCTCTGCTCTGCATTAGGTTGCTCAGCCCCTGCAGGCTGATTAGGCTTCCTCTCGCATGAGGCAAAAAATCCAGCAAATGCAGAAAAAAAACCTAATGCCAACACATGCGTCTGATGTCTAGTGGGAACATACAGCCTAGATGCAATGGAAGAGGCTGAGTGCCTGATAAAGCTAACAGAGCTCCAACAGTCACCACAAACATCATTATACAAGACCTTTACAGTTTTCATTAAACTTGTCATTTAAAATCAAGGGATGTGTGCCGCATGTTTCCGGTATGCTTCATTTACCTTTCCAAATATTTCAATTTAATGTCTGAAAGTCGTCCAAATATTTCAGACTCTTTTACACACATTTGATTTTACGTTTTTGATTTGGACTTTCCAAAACCCCAAGCAAATCCAAACAGCTGTTTGAGTTCTAATAAACGCTGGTTTTGGCTCAAAATATGTCAAATAAAAATTGGAAATGTGTGAAAGTGTGTACTTAGAAAGATTACACCAGATGTTTGCCGTTTGTGTCCGTGCCCGTTGCAGGGACACTCTTCCTCTGCGTCCCCCTGTGGGGACTTTAACACGTCACACTTCCAAATGATTCCACGACGCGCCCAGGAAGGTTGCCCTTACCCAGAGTCTCGCAGCTGGTGTTGCGGGAGCACTGCCCGCTGTCCTGCTCCAGCGAGGAGAGCTGCTCGTCCGACTTGCTCAGCTTGCCGATGCTGTTGCAGGGGGAGAGCCGTGGGGACTCTCCCCCGTAGGACTGACTGCCCCCAGAGAGGCGCCGCTGAAGATAGTCCAGATCGTAGTCCTGAGACGAGATCACAATCCGCCAAAACTCAGACACTGCGGCACTCCAACACACTTCAAACACAACGTCTGCACAAGGGCTCTGCTACCTGCTCCTGGAAAGTCACAGTTCTTTGGGTTTCATAGGGAGAATTAAATATTCTGCTAACAGCCAGATATGTTTGCTTGTTTCAATCAAACAGATATTAGATAATTAGTTATTGGGAGCTAATCTGAAGACACTGGAGCTCCCTAAAGCCAGTGTAGAACAGTCTACAGGTCTACAACAGCTGATGAAGTGCATCGCTAATAAAATCTTATACAAGAGAGAAAGTGTTTTTATAAGATGCCCAAATGTATGTCAAAGACAAATACACAGAATTTTATTCTCAAATCCTGGTGAAAGGAATTACAATTGTTGAAATCACTGCGTACAAAGCACTTACTAATGTTATTTTATCATCATGAATTGACACATATATCAGATTTTATTGCCTGTGATACAAATCACGTGACTCACTCCATCCAGAGAAATAGACCTTTGTTTAACATGATATTTATATGATGTTTACTATCAATTACGGCCATGATAAAGAAAAAAGAAAATTGCTTTAAATGCGCTTCAGGGCAAAGTACAGAGTTTGTCCACAGGGTCAGGCTGTTAGGTTGCCTCAAACAAAATAATTCATTTCTCGGTGCCCAGGATACCCAGGACACCGTAAGATACATGGTGCCATTCATTTTCCAGCCCTGATCGATCTTGTATATAAGAGCACGAAGAGACATTGACTCTTTGATAGACAGCAACATTGTACTTGGCCCAGTATCCCAGTGTCTCCTTACCCCTTTGCCAATTCCAACAGGGAGACTGGAACCACTGGTCGTCCTGCTCATTGGAGCTACCACTGCTACCCTGGTGGGAGAGGGGGCCGACTGCCTCTTTTTCGGGGGCAGAGCTGGGGGACTGGAAGAAAAGGAAAGTTGGGCTTTAAAGCTAAGTGAAAACATCCCTACTTCATATCTTAAGTGTGACCCAGTCAATCATCCTTCCATAAACAGTTCTGTCGTCGGGACAGGAACTGAAAACAAGGTCTATGAATAAGAGCGCTCAGATGCACAGGGTGCCTGCTATAGTTCTGGCGGCGGACCAGGAATGCACTGTGGTTAGCTACATTCCTTCACTTCTGGCAATGGGCTTTTGCAGCCACACATTCTTGAATCCAGTGAGCTACCGTGAATACAAGGAAGAAGCAAATTATCCACCCAGAAGGAAGGAGACAGGAGGGGGAGTGGGGCTGGAGTACTGAACACAGTTTCTTACTGGACTTGAAGAAAACTCCTGCATTCACCGAGTCTGAAGTGTGTTTTTAGAAGAATACAAGTATGGTAAGAGCTGACCTTGCCCATGACTTATAAAACAAGTTTTTAAATGGTGGGTCATGACTCTTCAGCTCCTTTCAATGGAGTTGATTAAAATGGGCAATTCTGAAATGCATGTTCTATATAATTTAAAAAAGGACAAACGCTTCAAATAGTAGTCATAATAATACCAATAATAATCAATAATTACAGCTATTTTATTTTGACAATGCGTCACTTGCCCTACTCAGGCATGCCCTTGTCTGAACTGTCTGGAACGGTTACCTAGCAACCAACTCGTTCAAGACAGTTTGAAAAGTTGCAGCAGTTTTAGCACTGGAAGATTTTCTGAAGTAAAGGGGGATTATGAAAAAAAGTCACTTACATCCGAGCAAATTCTAACAGCAATGAACCAAATAGCAGTAACACAATAAGAGACAATCAATCTCAAGTGCAAATACTGTATGTGAAATATGGATTTATATAGTTATGAGGAGGATCTACAGCTGCAGTGTGTGATGTGGGGTCTGACAAAGGAAAGACAGAAGGTTTTACTGAGTAAGTAATACATATATAATATATAATGTATAAATAATATAAAACCCTTCTTGAAGCTGAAGATGCCATCTGTCTTTACCTCAGATCACAGAGCCTTGCTTCAAGCGTGCTTGATCATCAAATTAAATTAATCAAATAAAATAATTATAAATTGGATTGTAATTTCAACTACTGACTAGTGCTTGTCAATACAGTCTTGTAATGCAATTATAAGTAATGTATTAACCATTTATGCAGAAAAGCAGGGGACTTGGCAATATTTTTCGTTAGGAGGAGGTCACAGTGCAATGAAATTAAGGAAACTATTCTAGACAACCAAGAAGCAACTGGTAGGAAAAGCAAAGTGCTCTTTACATGTGAACAAGATATAAAGATGACCAATGACACATTAATATTAACATGAAATTAACATGCGCATCAAGTTAAAGCAGCACCTAAAGTTCAGTATTGCTCAGGATAAGAAGCAGGAAGGAAGTATGTACTTAATTAATTTTTATTAGAAACAAGGTTTTCATTCATATAAAATTCACCAATTTATACACCTGCAGTCTGAAGAAAAAGAGTACATACATTGTCTCTTGCGCTGCACATTTCTACACAACAAACAGAACACAGAGCTGAGAATCGTGGAAAATGCAAAGACGAAAGTCACTGGAACATTAAATTACAGGGCTCAAGCCTTTTTTTTAGCAACACAAAATCCTGAGAACGTATTCGCTTTATATCTAACAACAGTGGAAGTGAAAGGGCTAGCTTTCACCTAGCTATCTTGTGTGTCATCTCGGGCTCTGTGTCAAAGGCAGGCTTGCTGTGATGCACACTTCTAAGAGTTGATCCAGTGGCAGGTCACAAGTGCAAAGCAAGAGGAAGCTGTGTGTGTGTGTAGTCAGTGACTTAACCTGAAAAAAACACTTTCTTCATAAGAAATGTATTTATAGTACAGTGCATATACTCTACAACATGGTAAGTTGCGTTCATTTAGTATTTTAAAGACAGGAAATGCATATGCTATTCAAAAACACATCCTCTACATTTTCTGCCTGGTGTGAACATACAGTTCTAATACACCCAGCCTTGACAAGTACACAAAATGTCCCTCCTAAGCCACTTGAGAATTAACCACACAGACACAGGTTTGTCGTGTAAGATGAGAGGTGTGTGTTTGTGAAACACAACAGCTGTTATGAGTTAATGTTACGGTAAGAACCTCACTGGCCTAGTGGGTTCTACTTCATCAGTTTTCACCACTCAAAAACTCCCCATCCATACAGTAATATTGTTAAATATGTTTAAGCCACTGTTTTGCTTTTTTTATTCAATTTTTGTGCACCAGCAAAGAAAAAAATATAAGGTGTAAGCAAAAAAGAGTTACATGCTACCACATTTAAAAAAGGTTCCGCAAAGCAACGAGATCTGAAGGCTAAGTCAAACCAGGAATCTACTTCCATATTGTACAAAGGAGACAAACGTAATTTTCCACCAAAAATACAAATGAAAACAGCCAGCTGGTTTAAATGTGTTTTTTTCTCCCCAATGACTAGAAGACACAGATACTAAATAAAACCAATGATTTAGAAATAAAAACTCTCTTGTACTTAAGAAATTACCTAAACAGCTGATCAAGTGAAAAAGACACTGAGAAAATAAATGATGGCAGTCAGCCTTAAACACATTTCTTTATTTTGAAACAGCCCCAGAATGCCCATGTAAATTCTCACACTACTGTTCTGGCTCACAGAGAATGCCAAACAGACAAATACTTCTAACAGGGGGCCTCTCGATATTTGGTATCCCGGAGCCCCCCCGCAATTGGTGGAGCACAGGGACATCCATCGCCTGTCAATCAGACTGTTGAAGACAGCTGCAGATCCTGGTGACTTTACAGCAAAAGACTCACACAAGTATAGTGATCTGTGAAGCTGCAAAAGTATCAGCATCCATCCATTCACTTTCTAATCGCTTAATCCAAGTCAGGGCCAGAGGGGAGCCGGAACCTAACCTGACAAGCAATGGGCACAAGGTGGGAAAGACCCTGGACAGGATGCCAGTCCATCGCAGGGCAAGCACACCCACATCAGGGCCAGTTTTCCCAGAATTAACCTACCAGGGTATCTTTGGACTGTAGGGAAAAAAAAACTCAGAGAACCCAGAGAAAGAGCATCCGAACACAGGGAGAACATATAAAGTCCACACAGATAGCACCCCTCATCTGGAATTCAACCCAGTGCCCCAGAGCTGTGAGGCAGCAATGCTAACCACTGTTTCCTTGTTTCAGGAAATTCCTACTTTTTTGAGTGGTACCTTCAAGAAGAGACTACATAGATTTAGAATTCACCAGCTTTGGATACGCAGCCTCACCTGTGCTCAGGGACCTTAAGCCCAGGAAGAGGTGGTTTGGGTGGGGCCACGTCTTCATCTGTGACGTCTGTTAGGATCTCTGTGGACTGCGTTATGGGTGTGGTTTTGGACAAGATTTCTTTCTCCCGCTCACTCAGAGGAAGTTCTGCAGTGCTGCAGAATTCAAAAGGGCACAGTTTAGTCAATAACGACATAAAATGATAAGGTAAAGAATACAAAATGGTAGAAGAAAACACAAGAAAGAAGACAACAAGAGGGAAAGTGATTAGCAGACTTTCAGGCGAAAAGATTCCGGTAAAACCAAAACTACCACCAGAGCAAAACAGTTCATCTATAACTGTTTTTTTTAATTCAACACCACCAAAGAGTGGCCAAAGGTTTTTAATCATCCGACAGCACAAGTCATTCAATACTGCACTCATGTTATGACTTGAATGTTTTGAAGTTAAGCTCAAAATGATTTTTGGCACGTCTACATTATCTTTAGTATTTTAGCGTTCTTCTGCTTTGTGCTCTACTATTTTGAAAGACTGTCACATAAACCCACAGTACTTTCTTTTCATATCATTAGCGTGAATTCAGACTCCGTGCTTGATGTATTTACATAATGTAGCATATTAATAACCCTACCCTCACTCTACTTTGCTCAAAATAAAAAAGACCCACAACTGAACTATCAAAAAATCTCCAGCTAATTCTAAATAATTACATGCCAAAAGCAGCTACTAATGTTGAGTGATGGCAGACCAAAAAAGTCTAAGGTCTTCTATCCTCAGCAAGATAACATCTGTTTTAACACCTGTCAACTGGAAACATCAGACACAAAGGAATTAAACATAGTTTTGCACATGCACTTCCTACCTTTCAATATCTGAGGGACACTAAAAATAATGTAATATTTTGACACTTGATGTTATCAATAAAGTTTTGTTTTTAAACATTAGATGTTATGTTGGTTGGAGGTTAGTTGCTGAGAATTGGGTGAAACTAGTGATGGAAATTAACATTGACAATACTGAAGATCAATAATGCAGCAGTTGCTTATCATAAATTTTGTAGCCTACAATTATTGGTTTATTGTTGCAAATATTGGTAGTACTTTCACAGCGGAAAATGAGTAAGTTTGCAGCATTCTTACACTTGGAAGAATCACTGATTCAGCTGATAATAGAGACCTTTAAATATCCATTAATTCATACTACAATATTATAACCATGTCTGGTACTCTATGACACAGCTACTAGCTGTTGATGCTAGCTAGCACAGGTTTCAGAGTTAAAAATGCCTTATTTACCATTTTCCCGAAATAACTATTTACATATCGACAGCCTCACCTAAAATGGACACAAACCTATTAAAGGGGGAACTGCAGACCCAATTTCCCAGATCGGTTATCAAATGTCGGTAATGAAATAAATTAATTGACAGTGTCAAAAAGTTTTACAAATTCCAAATTAGGCCCAAAATCGTGATCTTTGTGAAAATACAAAATCACCATGTTGCCACGAACCCCTGGTCTCGCCACGGGTTTGCGAGAATTGTGACATGAAGCGGCCATTCCTGCTCACTAGTCGCTGCAATGATTAATGTAATGCAATGCACGAGGGAATAAGTACAGGTCTTTGCCGCAGACAATGTTCCAAGATGATCTGCATGCAGAGTAAACAAGCGAATAGTATTTCTCGGCAACACCATCTCAAAATCGAGAGTCATGAGTCGAGGGCAATATTTCTACTGGATTAAAAGAGCCAATGAAATAGGGACATTTTGCCTCACCAGAAGCTTGGTTGCCTCGTTCTGAATCGCGCAATATGGCGCTGCGCGAACCTGGAAATTTTTGCCTATTTTGTGATGTATATTTTACATTCACTACAATGCACTCATCAATGGTGATTCGTTCTAACCCTGAAATACAAAAAAGCCATTGCAGTTCCCGTTTAAATTAATTACTAGATGAGACCTAATGTTTTTTTCAATACGGTTTTTTCAGCTGGAGATTCAGAACTAACACCAACTACAATCAGATTATCTCTGAAACTTGTCATCATCATTGACAAATGACTGCAAAGGAAAGAGAACAGCAACAGATTTTACATTGCCAATAGACGTGCAGTAATAAGACTGTTTTTCAATTTTAAGGGAAACCTGTCAGCGCCAAGCGTTTTAAATGAGAAACACTGAGAGAATTTTTTAAAGGTCATACTTGGAAAATTGTCAGCCCTGCGACAGTGTTTAAAGTGTAAACCATCCTTGCACTTAAGCAACGTAGGACAAGTGACTGTGAAATATTGCTTAAATTACTTTCAGTTAATGCAAGTTAAGAGTATAAGGAACATCCTCACCTTTCTGATTTGCAGGCAGACAGTGCTGGCTTGACTGGGGATGTGGGAGAAGGATGCTCCTGTTTCTCAATTGTGAGCTTCACAAGCTCCTGCAGAAATGTAAATACCATAAGACACTATTTAAGAGCACAAAAACAGGGGCTTGGTTATGGATCAATGTCTGTGGGTGTTTCATCCCTGCAGCAGGTTCATGAAACCTAGGTGGCAACAAATGTGTTAATAATGAACAAAATAAGACCAAAAAAGTAAAAGCTCTCCAAATCCTTCCAGCAGTGAGGTCAGATAGTGACAGTTTGAGACCCATCTGCATAAGTACAGGTGATAAACTTTATAGAAATAACTATTTTCAGGAAATCAACTATGGATTGTGGCTTTCCTTCCAAAAAACTGTATTATGCACTCCTAGGAAAAGTAACATAAAGCAACATACTGCAAAACATTACTATAAGCTGTTAGGTTTGTTAGACCACTATTATTTTTGGACCCTACTGCAGGTAGGCCTAATTGGATCCATATCAGGAATTTGTGGTGAATCCTTTGATTTGTAAATACCATTTTGCCAAACCTGAGAATGCCATCCTGAGGTTATATATGAAGTAAACTTCAAGAAATTCAAAGTAACTTTAGGCAGCACTGTACTTGGCAGTAACCTAAATTATTGGTCTCACTTAGGTATGTCAGCATTTGAGACATCGTGTCAGAAAGAGGCTAAACCCACCTTCACTCCGTCCAGCACTGCCTTTATAACCCCGGTTACCGTGACAATGGCTTCTTTGTCTTCAAGATTCACCCCTTCCAGCATCACCTGATCGGACCAGCTAATGAGGTTGGCCAAGCTCTGGTAAACCCGATTGAGACACGAGGACACTGCAGAGCTGTAAGGATATGGGAGACGCATTTAAGCACGAAGACTTCAGCCTGATGTAACCAGGCCTGGAGTGACTGCGAAGGCACATGATATTTGTCACATCATACCCTCGGAGATCTCACAACTACAAACTACAGAACAACCGGCAAAGCCAGAAGAGATCTTTTGAGCCTCTTTTGAGCCAGTTAAAAAATCAAATACTTTGAAAGCATGCTAGTAAAATGAGCCTCTTTCATAAATTATATTTATGTATTCAAAGAACCATACTGTCTAATGAAAAATAGTTCATTTTACTACATTCACATATAGCCTTCAAAGTAATGTTTAGCTGTAGCCAACGCTACCCATTAATTTCTTATGACTGTCACCAATATTATCTATGCAACAATCTATAAACAATAAATTCTGATAAAAATCACTAATAAAGGTAACAATGGAAAAAAAATAACTGGTGTATCTGTTTGTCCACTTAATTCCCCAGTTATTTTTATCCAGGCCATATCTTTGTTCTCTCTTAAAAAGCAAAAAGATCCAACCCACAACCTTGCTCAAAATTTAAGTGTCATTTTATTAGATGACACTTGGAGGCATGTTCGCCAAAATAATTCAGACAAGCAGTGATCGACTCTCTGCCCACCACATCCGATGGTTTTATTGTGGCTTGAGTCATTGGCTTCTTAGTACTAAAATGACTCAAAGACAATGAGATTTAGCCCAAACTGTAATGGAACCTGTGCCGCCTTATTACCTGACTGCTTATCACCAGAATTCACCAGGAGGAGAAATTATTTAAAAAAAACAACTATTGAAACGTTTGAATATACAGATGTTAGCGCAGCATTTCCTTATATGTCTCCTGAAATTTAGTCTAGAGTCCACAAAGTATTCTCTCTCTGACACGTTTGCTTTAGTGAACTTTCTAGATGGGCTGTCATTAAAACTGACTGTAATAAGAGTTCCTACCGAGAGACCTTTGTTCTTTCCTTCATACATTTTCTGAAACCTGCTTTTCTATCCCAATAAATCTGCTCTTACAATCCAATTGTCACAGACGCAAATTCATTTGTTTCTAATGTAATGTATGTCTCTAAAACATAACTCCTTGGTATCAGTGGAAATCACTGCAGTAAGAAACTTCCTGCTGATAGCTAGCGGTGGCCCATGTTTCCCCAGACAGTGCTCGGCACTGTGTACTCTGCCCCGCTCACCTCTGCTGTACCCGAGAATCCACCTGAACCAGTGGGAGGATGGCTTCCAGAACTTTGCTTGCCGAGCCAGGCAGCATCTCCAGCACTTTCTTGTCCACCACCATTTTGTCCACGATGGTCTTGAAGTAACGCAGGGCGCTCACCACATCTTTCTCGTACTCCTCTAATCGACTCAGATTCTAGGGGGGGCAGATCACGAAGAATCTGGGTGAGACAGTCTAGTTGGATTGTCAAGCTGTCAAACCTGTTCCAGAGACTCCAAAACATCAGCATTACTCTGTCTTCTCTTGATATCTCCAGACCTGGACTTTTGGGAGTTTCTGTTTGGTCTTTTACAGCAGAAGAAATGAAACGGGAGAAAGAAAGCGTCTTATATGCCATGTCTTTCAAAGAACTCAAGTTTTAAAGAAACAGCATATAACTCTCAGAGGCAGGAGCTTGTGCACAATTTTGCTCTGCTTGATAAACATTTCTCCAAGAATTAATATCCCTGTTAAGTTACATCACTATTCTGGTCCATTAACCTGAACACTCTTCATCACAAGGGGTTAAGAAAACTAGCTATACAATTGCAAAAACATTAAAAAGAATGCTGAAGATGATAATACAAGATTTACTTTCAGCTGTGTTGATGTGTACCTATAAAGATCCCACACTAGTCTTTAATTAACAGTCTCACAAACTTTATAAAAAAATGAACATGGTGGAATTCAGGGTAATAGGACACAATAACTGAACTGAAAGGAATGCTCAGGACTGAAGTGAAGCCACACTGCAGAGTGCAGAGTTATGACAGAGGAACTGTCTCCTTGCTCTTTCTGGAGTTAGGCATGATTGCAGCCAATGTGGGCTGTACCTCTGGACTGAAGGGACTGCAATTCCCCAGAGATGACAACAGTAAGGAGGAAAATAAAGGGAAGAGGGAAAAAATACAACAAAGAAGCAAGCAAACAACATCACAGAATTCCCAGAGATGCAGGAAACCTGTCCCAGTGGTCCGAATTCCCACGATCGACTGACCTTGTTCACAGGCTTCTCTGCCACTTTGACAGGAGGCTCGGGCTGCACCTGCTTCCCTTTTTTCGACGGTGTCCTCTTTATTTTGGGCGAGTGAAACTTGTCCTTCAGCTTCATGGTGAAGGAGGAGAGGTGGGATCGCTGGGAATCTGATTTAAAAAAATGGCAGGGAAAAAAGTGAGGCAAGGAAAAGAAGCTGGGTTCTGCAGAGATACTGGAGAGAGATCAAGCTTTTTCCACCAGGAATTCACATGACTTCACTTCCCCCGCCATCACTGTCCTGAACTATTTCAAACAGGTGGTCTGATCCCCGTTTTCTGCTGGAAAACGTCCACCCCAAGTGTATTAAAATGTAAAACTGCATGATCTGATCACTGTTTACATCCTACCTATGCCACACTTAGAGGACACTGATTTTTTTAAATTTTAAACAGTATCAAGTTATGATGTCGGATCCTAGGAACATCTGAAGATTAAAAAAAAGAAAATTCGATTCCATTATGTATGTTTTAATACATACACTTATAACAACTTCAAAGCAGAAAACGTGCACACATTTCTGACATATGACAAATTGAAAATAAATTCCGTTTGCTGTCCAGGTAGTTGCATAAAAAGCACTGACAAGGCAGGCAGAATCCTATGTTTGGGGAATACTGTGTGCGCGCACAAGCTTGCCCACATGTATATAAAAGAATATTGCAACTGTGCCACAGATTATGATAACAGGACTGAGCAGCAGGAAGACAACAGACAACAACACTCCAGGGACAAGCCTTTTATTACAAAGTAATTGGAATTTTATCCATCTCTAAGGTAATCTTAATTTTTAACCAGGTGACGCATTGATCTCCATCAAGCAACTCAATTGTTTTCAAAGTGAGAGAACTCTACTACGAAGGAGAAAAAACATTCTGCTTCCTGTACCAGCAGGCTGGAGGAAGAGGATAATTTCTTACATTTATACATCACTCTTCCTCTTGAAGACTCCCAAAAAGTTGTACACATAGAAGGGGGCCTATGTCACCCATCACTGAAGTTTTGCTCTCTTTGGTGCCCTGGGTGACATGTCTCAGCCCCACTACACAACAGATCAGGCTTAGCCCAGAGTGGAATTAGGCACAACACCAGGTTTAACACCCATACTTTTTTGTAAAAGTGCCATGAGATGCCATAGACCCTTGACCAAGTAGCTAGAATCTCGATTTAACAAGGTTCTTATCCAATAGATGACACCTCCTTCAGCACAAAGTCCGCTGTCGCTATCTAGGGACAGAATTGGAAGAGTGACACCTACTGGTCTACTGACACCACTTGCCACAGCAACTTGGACTTCCTTGCAGTTCTTCCACCTAGTGCTGGGCGATAATTTGATAACGATAATTATCGCGATATAATTTTCCTCGATATAATTTTAACAAAAGTTCGATATATATGTTTATGCTTTGCGCATGCGCACAAAATAATGCCCGAGTGCGCGTGCGTGTTGCAGACCGGACAGCTAACGTGGTGTTGTTTACCCGCACGGTGGTGGCTGACAGGATTGTAGTTAGAGTGGAGAAATGAGCGACACTTAAGCAAATGTAGTGCTGCCAACGACCAGCTCAAAGGGCGATGACTTCTTCGACAGAAAAGGTCATTCAACTTCGGAAATTTGGAGATATTTTGGCTTTTTACGATCAGACATAAAACAAAGCACTTTAAACTTTGCAGTCTGTCTGAGCCATCTTCTATGTGTGCTTTATCACACTGCAGTAAATTAATTTTTAAAAATAAAGATATGTATTTTGTAAATTTTACTCATGCATATTTTGACATTAAAAAAGACTTGAATACTCTCTACCTCAGATTTGTTTAATGTTTCTGCTGGTTGGCAAGTGTTTGTTATGTTCTTAAAATAAAGAGTTGTTTAATTTACCAATTAACTGTCTGGTTTCTTCAACTTTCACTCAGGAGAAAAAATCTGCCTTTAAACTGGAAAGAAATAATGATTTGACATTTATCGTGCTGTCAATGGATGACCACTCTTGTGAGGGTCCACAGCATTTACAGAAAGAGCTCTCTAACCTTCCACATCAAATGTGGATTTTTCACAGTGGCCAGCTTGTATGTGTGTGGGCGATGGTGTGCCAATGACATGTCACTCCTATATACGCTTGACACTTATCTCATTAGCATCCTGGTTACAGCCATTACCCTGCATGGCTGACTCATTTCTTCACAGCTATTGGCGACATGCCTTGCCACTTCAGATGTGGGCTCAAACACAACTCAGAGACCACACAGCACACAATCCCTTCTCAGCACCTCACAGGGCCATAAAACCAGAAGATGTCTGAAGAGAGAGAAACATGGCTCCAGACCCCCCCGTTACTAAAGTGTTTTTTATTTTTTTCCCCACAAGCACAAACATTTGACTTTTTGACTTACTGTCCGCCAGGTTGCAAAACCCTGAAAATGTGTTTTCATTAGGATTTTACTGTTTTTATTTTCTTATACAAAGTTGTCCTATTGCTTAATTTTGTGGTTCATACAATAAAAACAGCTAAATAAATTCAAAGAAGCAAGATTATCTTTAATTGGCATTACTAAAGAAATGTGCTTGACATAATTCAATGAAATTGAATTTTCAAAAAAGCAACAAAATCAAGAACAGGCTCAGGAACACCTCTTCTATGTAATTATGCTTTAGTAATGCATTACATTCTAAAGTGGCAGTCTGGAACCGGTTTATGCTATAAATTAAACCACCAGACAAAGTAATGGTAACATTTGTCTGTATTTTTCAAATCTTTAAGTTTTTTCTGTCTGCTTTATTTCCAGTGCTCAGCTGTCACAGTTTTTCAAATTGCTGATTCACAGCAAAAATGTGCAGTTTTTTCTCAGACTTGCTGAGTCTAGCTCAATCAGTCAGTACTGCCAAACAGCCATCATCTGACTTATTCCAAGACTCATGACATTTGTACTTACTCGGGTGTACAATATTTGAAAATAAGCTCACGTCATAAAATTATACAAAAACATTGACTATTCCACCAATTCAAAGGAACCGTTAGAATTCACTTTTTCAAAAGGCTGGATAAGAACACTTAACTATGGACTGAATGGCTTCTAATATTCTTAACTGAACAAAGAACTAGTATACTATTGCTGTAAAATTACACACATCTCATGTCATGATCATGTCAGTTGTTACAGACGTGAAACACTGACGACACAACAAGCTTGCTCCATAACATTTTAAAAGGAATTTACACAGAAATCAGGTCTCTAGGTTAAGTTCATTCAACATAGTACACATTAGTTAAGTGAATTCCCTAACTTAAAAAGGGAGACAAAATGTTTGGCCTGTACCTGCATAGGTCTATATTTCAAAACACAGGGGTGTCGCAGCTAGAAGTAATGTAACGACTCGTGCTTTACAGGAGTTGTATTTATAAGATGACAGCAGGTAAAACAAATGTCCAAAATGAAAAGCAGGCAGTGTCAGGAAGGACAGTTTAGAGACAATAACTACAATAACTGCTCCGAAGTGACAAATCTAATTTCTTCCTTCAGTTTTTCCATAGTCCCACTTCTAACTCAAGCTGGAACAGATCTGAGTCATTCACAAGCATGGGGCTGCATCAATATTGAGATGTTTACCACTCCAGAAAGTATCCTGTTCCAGACAGGGGGGCTGATACTTCACTGTACTACAGAGGGCTATATTCACATGCTAAAAACAGTCTGGTGGCACTGAAAAACAAATCACCACCTAGCTTCATTCTAATGTCCTCCCAAAACCCTTTACAGGATGTTTTGGAAGATGCAACACTAGAAAATGACAAAGAACAGTGTGTAATAGAATAACAACAGAATAAGTCATAAGTACAATAAGCAAAATGAAATCTGCTCTAGTGGTTAAAATGCATTAGAATCTGAGATTTGTATGGAAAAGAGGATCTTGAGAAAAAAACAAAAAAAGTAAAAATTACAATTTATAGAAGAACATGGCCTTTCTAATGTGCAAGTTCACAGAGCAGGAGTTGTGAATAAGCCAAACAGCTGGTTTATCTAGTGTTCAGCACATTTGATGTGATCACATGCTTGGAAGAGTTTCTCTGTGTCCAGCTCAACACACACACAAACACTTTTCTGACTGCAAATTGACATCTATTAAAATAAAACTAATTCTATCCATTTCAGTTGTAGCCATAAATTGGTGAATTGGAAAGATATAAATCCTGCTTACCCTTTGGATTAAATTGGAAGGTAAACCAGGTTTTCAAAAACTTGTGACTAATGCTGAAAATGTTACAGCGAATGGGGCAAGTCCAAACAAAGTCTACATTGTAATGCTATAAAAGCTTTTCTTTCTGTATATCATTATAAATTATAGGAATCTACAAATTATATAAACTAGCTGGGAAATAACTGATCCAATTTTATCTTTTCTCCCCTTTTTGTATGTATGTTTTGAGATGTTATGATTTGATGTATCTTTATTGTACATACATATACATTTGTAATTACCTCTATAATTTTTTTTTTTAATCAGATTTTGTGATACAGATGCTACAACATGTTTTCAACTGTTCACCTCCGACTCGGTAAATTTAAGATATATTAAAATAATATTACCAGTTACAGAGGGGTCTTCTATGACACTCCTTTTTAAAGTTAAAAAAGGCCATTTTTTTATACAACATATATATACTGTACCCATTCAATTGCTAATGGTCATTTTACACTCATCTCCCAGTGATGACAGCGGTACCCGCAAGGGAAGAACGAGGACATACTGACAGGCTAATCCTACCCTCTCACTCATCAATCAATTGACAAGATCTGCAGCAACACACAGGAGGTTCAATACTGACAGAGGAGGGGTGCGGTCCTCAGTGACAACATGGCAAGCTGGGAGAACCCCTGAAACCAAAGGCTGGCCAGGTCACTCAGAACTGGGAGAGCCCTGGCTGACCAATCCCAATCCTACAACTTGAGGCAGTGAGTCAACAGCACTACACTGTTTGGGGAACCCCGTTCACCATCGATATGTCAGATATGACCAAAGCCTGCAGCCGAATTTCTCTAATGAGAGGTGTGAAATGATTAGGCTGACTGCCATTTCAGGCAGCACAGTACTTACTAAAGGGCACCAGCCCCC